TAGGAGCCGAGCAGCAGATGTTCCATTTGACGCTTTTTTTCCAACAATTTTTCATTTTAATTTGCGGCTGGCCTGGTCGCAAAATTAATCTTATCTGGCTCTTGCAGGATTGCGCAGTCTCAGAGGAGCAAGAGTAACGTTGCGAAAGAGAAAAGCCCACTCACGAGCAAATGTTTTCAATTATTCGTCTGTCTGTGTGCACGTGAAGAGCCCCTTACCTTGTCTTGGTCACTTTGATTCATTCTGACATGCTAATAACAAGAGTGTATTGAGAAATCCAGGCGCGTGGAGCAAACCGTCCCGTCCTGGCTGTCCAAATGCTGCCTGCGTCTCAAACTGAGCAGATGCTGCCGTAGTGTTTCCATTGCACATGAGAGACGAGCTCATTTGAAGTAATTTCCTCGCGCAGAAGGCAATCACGTGTAGAATGGATGGGGTATAATTGGTTTATTAGTGATATTACATGAGAGGAGAGTCAGGAGATGGAGATTTTTATATTGGTTTGAAATGGTAAAGTGACAGGTGCTAGTTCATAGGTTTCTACAGACGTAAATGAACAATGATTACAGCCAAATCACCCTTAAAGGAGACATTTTTTACTACATTTTTGCACAATTGTTCCATCATCATAAACAGACCTGGAGTTGTCTTTAGTTCCATCCACGCTAATATCAAGAACTTCTGGCACTTCCGCACTGGCACTTCCGTCCCTTCTGGTGCAAAGCTTCTCTTGGTCATGGTCCTATACTTGTATGATGTCATGATACAAAATCCTGTTCTTATCATTTGTTTACCACATGTTTCTACTGAAGATATTATTTCACATTCTAAAACATGAAATGACAAAGTAAATAGTCAAAATGGCCATAAAACGAGCAAATATTTCTTCTTTAAACTGAAATGATGAAAAGGTCATAGAACAAACCACAACGAAATTTATAAGGAGAAATAACTTTATAATGGAATCAGCTCTCAGCGATTTTGATATTGTATTTTCCAATGATTCTTGAAAATTTCAAGCCTTTCATTATTGACACAAAAGTAAATATTGTACGTTCCCGTTATTTAACCAAAAACAGGACAATACCAGGAGTATTCCTGGAATACTTTATGTCACTACTACTTTATGTCACTTTTGAACATAAAACGCTTTTCTTCTCATTTCCCAATTTGAAGTAAATTGAAATACAAAATTGGACAGTACGCAATATTTTCATTTTAAATCACATCTACATCTTTCATACACACAGACTGTGTGTATTGTGTGACCTGAATGAAGTGAAAAGTGAAATGCATTTTCTGATATATTTTCCCTTTTATGATGAAAACTCATTGTTTCATGAAATGTTCACTCAGGATCCTGATCTGTTCTGGTGCATTGACTCATCTGAGAGCATTGGTGTTTAGATTCTAGTCCAGTTCTCAGGTCTCTGCACTGGCTTCCTGTGGCTCAGAGAATAGACTTTAAAACAGCTCTGCTTGTGTACAAGTCTCTCCATGGCCTCGCACCAAAATATATTAGTGACATGTTAGTCCCATATGAACCAGCCCGGACTCTGAGGAGCACAGGGACTGGACTCCTGTTAGTGTCCAGAGTCAGAACTAAACATGGGGAGGCTGCTTTTCAGATTCATGCTGCTAAAATCTGGAACAGTCTTCCTGAAGATGTGAGACAGGCCTCCTCTCTGACAATGTTTAAAACCAGGTTAAAGACAGTTCTGTTTAACTGTGCATACAACTGAGGGATTTTATATTTTTATCTTTTTTTTAATGTTCTATGATTATTTATGATTTTAATGCTTTCTTGTTTTGTTCAGCACTTTGAATTGCCTTGTGTATGAATTGTGCTATATAAATAAACTTGCCTTGCCTTGCCTTGCCTAGATATGTTTTTGTGCCTGATGTTGGCCTGTGTCTTTGTTTTTGTGGTAATCGTGTCTTATAAGCCCATGTGGGCTGGGCATCCTTGTATGCAAGACACTATCATAAAAAGTTTCTAAGTATCTATCCATCTATCTATCTGTCTATATATCTATCTATCTAGATTGTCCAATCCGAGAGCAGAATGAAGATCTGCTTTTTGTCTTTGAGCTCACTGTTCAAACTGCAGAGATCAATTGTAATTCACAAACCACTAGAGCCACAAAAGACGATTTAGTTTGAGAAGCACAATCTATTTCTGCTTTTAATTCTGTGAATTTTCTGATTGCATCACATTTCTGTAGTCTGGGCACACACTGCAGCTCAATCTCTTTACACTGCCTCAGTCCCTATGGAAAAACCAACATGTTTTTTGTGAGCATTGTGGCTGCTCTCTGCACATTTGGAGAACAGCTGATGAGAGACAGACCCTCTGTGAACTCCACTACTTTCAGATCCATAGACAGAGGATGTGTGCTGATTTTGAGCAGAATTCAGTGAGAAGAAAAGTCTGAAATGAACAACTAACAACTGGATCTGGGGTTTTTGGAGCAACACTGCCCCCTACTGGTTTTTTTTTTAAACACTTTCAGTTCTACAGTTTTTATTATAGGGATATATCAGATGTATACTGCAAAACTACAGAATATGCCGAATTGAAATTGTTACATTTAGTATTTATTTAATAGAAATCCCAACTAAATTATACTAAGCAGACGAAATACAGTCTGCATAGGTCTTTTTTCTTCTGCATACCACATTTTGTCAACATTTTGCTTGCATATTTGCTGTCGTCCCTGGTTATGAAAGTGTGATTATAAAAGAATATCTAATTTTAAAAACCCTTCTTTGGTTCACAGTATTCTATTTTGATGTTGCCATTGTGTGTACTTAAAAAAAAATAGCATCTTACCTTGAAAGCTGGAGTATGAAGATGCCAGGCCAATTTACAGGTGCACAAGAGAAAGCACAACTTTAATGACGTTAATGTGACTTGAACTGTTTTGGAACTTTTTTTATGTGATTAAACTTTGCAACACACTGTGTTTGGGCCTTAGTTGAGACAACCCACTGACAAATTTGATGAAAAACGGGAATTCTCTCCACATGTTCTCCATGGACACCTCCACACTAAATTCAATTACATTTCTATATTTGTACAGCTCAAAATAGCATTCTTCTAAAACCGTGAGACAGAATTATTGTTTTGCAAAAAACAAATTTGAAAATTAAATTTATTAAACACGTAAAAAATAGAACAATAAAACACATACAAGTCATTGGCCTATGTCTATAAAAGTCCTGGGTCAAAACTGTCCTTTTGTTACTGTATCTTTGTCTGTGACCTGTCCTGCTCCACACAGCAGCTTCTCTACCTCTGCTGCTTTGTCTTTTTTTCTCACCAAACAAGACAAGGCTTAGAAATGCAAAGCTATACTCCCCCCTCTATCTGTCTCTGGTTCATGATGAAAAGTGATGCAATTCGACAAATCAATGTGGCTGTTGCATGTCTGTCTCTTCATGGTTTAAGTTCCTGTCAATAAATTACATCTTTATTTTTCTTTTATGTGTGGTTTACATTTCTTCAGAATATCTGTCTGGTTCTTTCAGCATCATGTATTCATCATGCGAATCACATTTTTCACACCAGCTGCTCACTGCTCCTCCTGCAGGAGCCTTGATCTTCATACTGGAGCTTCAGGCAAAGTGGAGTTAAGTGTCTTGCCCAAGGACACTGTGGGTCATCAGTGGGAGTTGTGAAGTAGGTCTTGAGGTGGCCTCGAACCCACGACCTTCAGGCCTAGAGACCAATGCTCTACCAACTGAGCTACTGTCGCACACAATTAAGGGAAATTTGTGTATGTTTTTAACTTTCTTGAAATAGTTTTTATTAAGTTATTAATATTCTTGCTAATCCACTTCCAACATGACCATGAATGAAGTGCATTACAAGGTTCTAAATTGTTTGCAGCTGGCAGATGGCTTCATAAGTAAACTTCTTAGACTTAGGTCTGTAAATTATGAAAGTAAAAACTATTCTTGAAAAACTTGTTTTTTAAAATGCAATTACAACAATGCCGTGCCAACTGTCCGCGTTCACCTTTTGGACTTCCATGATCATTTGTGCAGAGGAAGTGTTTGGAAGGGACAGATTGGGAGAGGAGTTGCTGCACAAGTCCGAAGTGCAGTCCTTCACTTGGTCGCTGTCTTGTGTGGGCGACTGTGGACATAAAGGCTGTGTGTACTCAACGAACAAACAAATGGAGCAACTCTTCTTGTCCGGGTCAAAAGGCAAAGTGCTATCAGACTCCTGCACAACATCAAAAAACAACAGAACCCAACTCCAGGCCACTGTCTGGCTTAACACGATATTTAAATAACTTCTGTGTTCATAGATATATATAGAGTCAAAAGAATGTCTACATGCATAGGAGGAAGGTGAAAGAGTGTAGAGAATATCAAGAATATCTCTTGATGATTTGAATGTGGCTCTATACAAACAGTTTCAGGTAGTATGTAATGTATATTACAGAATGTAAAGCTCTTTGATGGATGCTCAACCCATGGTCTCAACAAAAGGCAAGGTTCACATTGTAACCAAAGTTTATTTTATTTCTGATGAAACAATATGGAAAAGCATCACGTAAAAACAGTAGCTTGAAGCTACATAAATTATGTACAGTTCCATGAAAGCGAAACTGCACAGTTGAAGGCTCTGTACATGATTTATTGTATTCAAGCAAAATGTGTGTATCCCCTGCACAGATCTAATGAAAAATAGCTGATTGCTTTCTGCGTTGAATTATAAAAAGTTTTGATAGCAGAAAGTGCTCTACTAACTAGCTTGTTCGTGTTTGGTTAGGGTGACGACAGAAATCGGCTGTGAACATTGTGAAAAGAACATACAGAACTCATCGCGCCGAATAATTTTGGATGTGAGAAATGCAGGAGAAAGAAGCCTGGACAGCTTCAAACTGATAACATCAACTACTTCTGGGTTTCAGTACAGGGACTTTAGCTTCCGCTGGACAGAGAGAAGAAGTGTATTTTGTGGATTATTTGATCATAAGTGTTTATGTTTAAACTTCAGTGGGGTTGCTGATCTTGCCCATAAAGAGAATGCTCTTGGTGGAGTGCTCCAGGATGAAGACCAGGAAGGGCCGGTTGAGGGACAGCCTCTCTGGCATGCTCATGGGCATCACCTCGATGGTGGTGGCAGCAGCAGCTTCAGTCCCCGTCTCGTCTACGCTCAGAACAGCCTTGTGTGAAGCCTGTACAGAGATCATTTAAGTTTTTTAAAACATTTATCTGTGGATCATTAAGGACAAACTGTTTGAACGTGGCACTACCTTTGAGACTTTGAGCTTGACCTCCTCAGAAATTCCTGCAAAATCTGCCTTATCGCCAAAAGCATCGGTCATGCCGAGTTCTTTCAGGCTTTCATCCAGAGCTGCATCCCCAGAGATGGAAAATTTGGGCATCTCCAGATCCACAGACCTAAAAAAAAAGACTCTGGTAAACCCGCTATTTGTTTAAACTTTGCTCTAAAGTACTCAAGAACTTACGCTCTGATGAGAGAGTCGTGCCAGTGCTTGATGTGGTCTTTGCAGATGACATCCTCCACTTCCGTCATCTTTCCCTCATCAGGCAGCACAATCATCATGGAAGTGTTGCCCTTGTACGGCAGCAGGATGACCAAGGTGTGGTTGTCCATGTCCAGGTAGAAGTCGTAACGGCCAGTTCTCTTCATCATGTCCACCTCCACTTTGGTGTTTTCGTCCACAGTGAATTCAGCTTTGCTTGTGAAGTTGGCATCAAATGGTTTCTCCCACTGTCCTGTAATAATAGTATTTAAGATTATGGTTGTGTCAGTTACCTGGAGTTATCACTGTGCTTTTATAACGGCTGACCTCTGAAATAGACGTAGTTGATGAGGACCATGGCAGTAGCGGGGTCCAGATCCTTCACCATATCCTTAATCTTGTCTTGTGTCTTTTTTGCTATGAAAGTGTTGATTTCTGCAGCTGCCTCTTGTGGTTTCTGAAAGTCAACATTGAAGATCTCTGCAGAGTAGTGCTCCTTGATGTTGGCAGTGAAGCTGTCAAGAGGAGCAAAGTTGGTGCGGAGGGCCAGACCGTTGCCTACGTTCAGTACCTAGTTTTAGTGGGTGAAAATGGACAAAAAAAGAATGTCAATGGATTATCTGATTATACTGAAAGCATAAGCATGGAAGCAATCCAAAGAAGCTTGTTAAATGTATTTTCCTGCTCAGTAAAAACTATTCATGGAACCGACATATGAGATTACGTCACCTACTACATAGATTATTACGTTATAGCAGCCTTTCACTCAATATGAAGATTCTAAATACTCATTCATTCAAGGTATACATGTATTCTCCAGAACGTATCCATCAAATCTTTGTGTATTTAGCTCTAGTTTTTGTATAAACATCTCATTCAACACCTTCTTTCAACAGATTTTCTACAACGTCTCATCTATACCTGGCTTTCCTGGCTGTGTCCGAGCATATGGAACAGGTGAGTGTATGCATCATCCACAAAGCTCTGGTTCATGTTGTTGTAATTCAGCGTGGAGAACATCTGTTTGTGTGTCTCGCCACGCGCCCCGGTGGACAGCATGGACAGTGCAGTGGACACCCCCAACGGGGAGAAGAAGATGTTCTTTCCAGCAGCGGTCTTGGAGTTGATGTTCTTGTAGAGGGCGAAGGCAAAGTCGGCGTTGGGTGGGGAGAGATGGTGGCACTGCATATCGCCTGAGTGATGGCCGTGGGCATGGTCATGGCCGTGGGCATGGTCATGGTCATGGGAATGGTCATGGTCATGGGAATGGTCATGGCCATGGGAATGGTCATGAGCATGGGGGTGTGCCCAGGCCACAGCCGCGAACAGCGCAAGAGCAAGAGTAGCACGCATTGTAGCAGCCTGAGGAAAGATAGGCGTTTAGTGAGTTAATGTCATAATTACTGGTCTGTCACAACCTTCTTGACAACTCAACTCAGGATGGATTTAAGAATATATCAGACCAATGAAGTCAGTTTTTTATCTTGACCCTATTTAGCTTAGGGCTCGATGCCAGTGAACAACCTTCAAAGAATCTGACTCAGTGCACCGGCCAAATATCGTATGAGGCTCGTCAAGTCATGTTCAGTAGGTCTTGTCTAATATAACTTTAGAAATATCTGAAGTAGAAGTTGTTATCTCTCTGAAATTGATATATTGTTGAGGATATTTTGCCCTTAAAAAAGGTTGCCCCTCTGAAAGAATATTGAAAGCGCTGCAGCAGGTGATTATGAAAATGAAATGTACAAGTTCTAATGCATGGATTTAACACTTCTTCTGTAATGTCCTTATATTAGTACATGTGTCTTGAGTAGATTGAGCGACTCACCTTCAGTGTCCTCTTTGCTGCAGCCAAATGTAGCCCAAATGTTCAGGTTATATACAGCTGTGCAGAGAGCAAGCTGATTGGAAGTTCAAACCAGTGCAGAACCAGCCCCTTTGGTTGTTTCAGAGATAGGTCTGAGCTGGAATCACAGTGATGCAACTCAAATACGATCTGATGGAGAGGTGTGGGAGGATTCTAAAACTACAAAATAACGTGGGATCTGTTAGGTGTTTGATGATTATTAGTTTTTTAAAGTTCAAACTCGCAACATGTGGTGACACTATTGATCCACAATGGGAAGAAAAGAGATAACGTCCAACTTGGTCATTATTTTTCCATTTCTGTTGCAAAAGTGACATTTTTATCATCAGAGAGAATACTCCTGTACCTTTTCTCAAAGCACTACAAGCGTCACCACACAACTTTGAAGTCACTAAGTGCTTACCGTTAAAGGAGAGGGAATTAATTGTATGGGATATGTGTAATACTTTCTACTTTTACCGCATCAGCAACCCAACTTGGACTTTTAAAATGTTTGAATGAATTTCTTTGTTAATGTTATTTTTGATCATTTTATGAAATATATTTGTATGAGGTTGCACTGAACTGCTGCGGCCCTGTGAAACCTTTTTCATAATTTAAAGTTATAATGAATCTAATCCTATTTTTGTGCAAAAGCTATTTATTTTATGGCTCCTGAAAAATATGTATGTATGTATTTATTATATATATATATATATATATATATATATATGAGGAATATCTTTGGTATAATCTTGTAATGAATTGAAAGCTGTAAATGATGACATTGTAAGTCAGGGGTCTCCAACCTGTAGCTCAGGAGCTACCAGTAGCTCGCCAGCCCCTTTCAGGTAGCTCGCCAAAGGAATTAGAGTTTAACAAATGATCTTGTGAATGATCAAATTAACACTTTTTGAGCTTTTATATATCTATTAGAAGTATAAATATAGGGTTATACAGTTTTAAATTATGTTTTGTTGTAATTTTTAGATATTACTACTAGGCAAGGCAAGGCAAGGCAAGGCAAGGCAAGGCAAGTTTATTTATATAGCACAATTCATACACAAGGCAATTCAAAGTGCTGAACAAAACAAGAAAGCATTAAAATCATAAATTATCACAGAACATTAAAAAGAAAGATGAAAATATAAAATCCCTCAGTTGTATGCACAGTTAAACAGAACTGTCTTTAACCTGGTTTTAAACATTGTCAGAGAGGAGGCCTGTCTCACATCTTCAGGAAGACTGTTCCAGATTTTAGCAGCATGAATCTGAAAAGCTGCCTCCCCATGTTTAGTTCTGACTCTGGGCACTAACAGGAGTCCAGTCCCTGTGCTCCTCAGAGTCCGGGCTGGTTCATATGGGACTAACATGTCACTAATATATTTTGGTGCGAGACCATGGAGAGACTTGTACACAAGCAGAGCTGTTTTAAAGTCTATTCTCTGAGCCACAGGAAGCCAGTGCAGAGACCTGAGAACTGGACTAATGTGGTCGTACTTCCTGGTTCTAGTCAGGACTCATGCTGCTGCATTTTGAATGTACTGCAGCTGTTTTACAGCCTGCTTGGACAGACCTGTGAGCAGGCCATTGCAGTAGTCTAACCTACTGGAGACAAATGCATGGATAAGAATCTCCAAGTCTGCTTTAGACACTATGTTTTTGATCCTGGCAATGTTTTTTAGATGGTAAAAAGCTGCTGATGTTACTGATTTGATGTGGCTATTAAAATTTAAGTCTAAGTCCAGTATTACCCCTAGATTTCTGACCTTGTTTGAAGGTTTAAGGGAGAGAGACTGTAGGTGACAGATGACGCTCTCTCTTTGTTTCTGGGGACCAAAGACGGTACGGTGGCTGAGTGGATAGCACTCTCGCCTCTCAGCAAGAAGGTCCTGGGTTCGAATCCCGGTTGGACCAGGGCCTTTCTGAGTGGAGTTTGCATGTTCTCCCCGTGTCTGCGTAGGTTTCCTCCGGGTGCTCCGGTTTCCCCTACCACTAAAAATATGTACAATAGTTCTGGCATGTGCCTCCTGTACTGGCACCCCTGCTCCCAAAAAAAAAATAACAATTGTAAACCGCTTTGAGACTCCGATGTGCAGTGAAAAGGCGGTATATAAATAAAGATTACTTACTTACTTACAAAGACAATCATTTCAGTTTTGTCTGCGTTTAGCTGAAGGAAGTTGTTTTGCATCCACTCACTGATCTGTTGGATACAGTGAAGGAGTGAGTCCACTGGTCCATGTTCTCCTGCAGTCAGTGAGACATAGATCTGAGTGTCGTCTGCATAGTTATGATAGGAAACTTTGTTTCTGCGTATTAACTGACCTAACGGCAGCATGTAAAGATTGAAAAGAAGAGGTCCCAGGATCGACCCCTGTGGGACTCCACAGGTCAGGGCCATATGATCTGAGACACAGTTTCCAATCTCCACAAAGTACTTCCTGCCTTCAAGGTAAGACCTAAACCAACTTAGGGCGGTGCTAGTGACGCCAACCCAGTCCTTTAGTCTCTGTAAGAGGATCTCATGGTCGACGGTGTCAAAGGCAGCACTTAGATCTAACAAGATTAAGATTGAGACTTTGCCTGCGTCAGTGTTCAGCCGGATATCGTTTGTAACCTTAACGAGAGCAGTCTCAGTGCTGTGGTGGGGTCTAAAACCGGACTGAAACATATCAAATGAGTTGTTGATAATAAGAAATCTAGTAAGCTGTAGGTAGACAACTTTCTCAAGGACTTTCCCCATAAATGGCAGATTTGAGATGGGACGATAGTTGTTAAGTACCGTAGCATTGAGACTGCTCTTTTTTAGCAGGGGCCTGATGACTGCAGTTTTCAGGGCCTTTGGGAATATTCCAGAATGAAGGGACATGTTTACTATCTGTGTGAGTGAAGGTAACAGACTGCTCAGAACAGACTTCAGAAATCTAGTGGGTAGTACATCCAAGCTGCATGTGGAGGAGCTCAAACTGGAGATTATCTCTTGGACAGTTTTATCATTTACAGGTGCAAAGTGAGTTAGCTCAGAGAGCCTTTCTGGCTGTTGGATGGTTATCTGTGGATTGGAGACAATGGCGTTTTTGATGCCTTGAACCTTGTCATTGAAAAAATTAGCAAACTCATTGCATTTACGTTTGGAAGTAAGCTCTAATGGCATTTGAACAGGGGGGTTTGTTAATCTATTAACTGTTGAGAACAGAACACGCAGATTGTTGCTGCAGCCTTCAATCATTTCAGAAAAATACCTTTCTCTCGTACTACGTAGCACCCGGTTAAACTCGCACAACTTATCTTTGAAGATCTTGTAATCAACCTGGAGGTTGGACTTGCGCCACTTCCGCTCGACCCTCCGGCACTTTCTCTTTTGTGCCCTGACCGAGTCTGCTTTAGCCCACGGCGCCTTCTGCTTATTTTTCACTATTTTAACCTTCACAGGGGCAACGGTATCCAGAACATTCAAAGCACTAGAGGTGACAGAGTTAAACAGTTCATCTACAGTAGAATACGATGCATTCTCAAAGTTTATCATTTCCATAAATAGTTCACTCGTATTTTCATTTATGCGCCTTCTTCGAACGGTTGCAGAGTCCACTGGTGGTTTGTTAGTGAAACACATGTCAAAAAAAACACAGAAATGATCCGAAAGAGCAACATCGACCACGTTTACATTTGAAATAATCACCCCCTTTGTAACTAACAGATACTACTATAACAGATACTAACTATACTACTATAAAAGTAGCTCTCCAATTGAAAAAGGTTGGAGACCCCTGTTGTAAGTAATCTGACAATGGAGCAAAGACATTTTAAGAAGATTTGTGCTCGATAGTTTTATATTTCATTTGGTTTTGAGCTGAAGTTAATGTGTGATTTTGCTTAGTAGAAAAACAAGTTTTACTGTAAGAGCTGTTTTGGTGAGATAAACAAAAAGGTAAATGAAACATTACAGTCACATTTCCTCCACTAAATGTGCCATCAGCGTGAACATTAGGGAAACAAATTTGTGCTGGCTGGGAAAACAACAGTCCATTTGTTTATGGATTTGCTGCGTCTTGCTACGGCTGGTGAGCGGACCTGGTTCCCTTTTGTGCACAGAGGTAATTATTGCTGACTTAGGATGCACTCAGTACCGTTCATCATTTTAGCCGGCTAGCGAACACAAGCAATTACAGCTCAAAAGAGTGCCTTATGAATCAATATACAGCGTAGCAGGGAGGCACATGGGACTCTGCAGAGAGGGTCATCAGAGCCAGTGGTGCAGTGGTTAGCGCTTGTGATTTCACTGCAAGAAGTTCCAGGTGAGGATTCTACAACCAGACGGGGCCTTTCTGTGTGGAGTTTGCATGTTCTCCCTGGGTGAATGATTGAGTGTGTGTTTGTGAGTGCGACAACAGATCCAAGGCTACAATCTGACGCGCTGCGACGAAAACAACTTTGTCCAGCGCATTTTCCAGTACAATCAGTGACAGGGGGGTAAGCATATCAAAGCAAATGTATATATTTCTCGACGGTAAAGACAAGAAAAACTAATCACGTTCCAATTGGTTCTGGGGGAAGTGTATAAATGAAACCCAATAAGGAAGTGCTCACGGACGAAGTTTTGCTCCAACTTGCTCTGGCTCCTATTGAAGTAGAAATATAAACAGCTAGATATACAGTAAATTGTCTAGCTCAGTAACTGTTTGTGTTAGACTTATTTTTGGGGGCTTTAAAAATCCATGGTGTAGCATTCTCTGTGATCCTGGTGTTTATATTGAGGCCTGGCAACTGACCAATCAGAATCCCTCTTTCGTCAAATTTGGCTTCAATGAGACTGTAAAATAGACTGTAAAGGCGCAAGAGAGGGTTGGTGTTTCAGCCATTGCCATCAATCAAATTTGCATACATTTCGCTCCACAATTAATTTGGCTTACGGATCAAATAGCCCGTTTGAGCTAGCTCTCATCGACCTCTTCTGCATTAAGGAAAACACTATGGGGGACATACACAGTCTACACGCTAAAGTAAGAAGCTGGAACCTAAGGTTAAAGTGGGTCTTTGTATTCAACTAATTTCTCACAATCAAAAAATTACATGCATAACTTTCCACTTTTCAAATGAATTGTGTAGAATATACTTTTTGGGCAATAACGGCATCTCCAATACAATAATCTTAAATGGACAGCTATAGTGGATGTCAGTGTCACTTTTCAAACTGAGAAGAGAGAGAAACTTTCTGAAGACAAGCAGCTTCCTGATTGGAGGCCCCGCGTTTCTGTTCTCCACTAGCAAATATTACAGGTTCTAGTTATGCACATGGACATTTTTAATGGCGTAAAGTGCCAAATTATTATTGTGTTGTGAGACAAGGCACTTCAACCATCACATTGACTAGTATGAGTCTGGTGTGTGTGAATAATTGTATGCTCCTTGGGTGGATACAAAATTAAGCTATACCATACATAAACCATACGTTTTGCACTATAGCAACAATACAGAATACTACTCTGATTTTCGGTTTCAAATATATGCACACAGATATCTACATGTATATACATTGATACTCAATGTTTCCAAAGTATTTCTCTTGTAATTGACTTAAGAGAAAGGATTTCAGCCATGTCAAATGGAGACGAAACAAAAACAAGGTTCAAAGTCTGTCGCAGCTGTAAACACACAGTTTCTATCAGAAGATTATGTTAGTGACATTGATGTAAATCAAGGGTCATGAATAGAAATGGTTTCTGACAAAAGTGGTTTGCTAGTTTGTTCAGAGGCCCTTGGGTTGGACAGGGGCCATGGCTGTAGTCAATGAATGGTTCAAAGGTTCTGGGTGATTCAGGGTCACATATCGACGTTGTGTAAATTAATCTACAGCTGTTTCTCAATTGTTCCCCCTCTCAAAACAATCATTTCACCATGCATCTATGCCTTGGGAGCTTTGTTGTGTTGTCCTTGTGGAAGCATGTTTTCAGATCATGTTGGAAATGTATTGATCTTTTTGGCATGAACTTTTGACCTCTCGTCTAAGTCCCAACAAACAACTGCAGCAACGTTTCTCTTTTCTGCGAATCTTTCTGATGAGTGGTGTTGGTGTGGGCTGAGAGCTCAGAGGGGACAGTACATAATGATTCCCCATGTAAGTCTCGGATTGGACTTTCCACCTTATGCAACACGTCATGCTCGCCAATGTACTGTGTCTTCTGTCAAAAGAAGATTCAAATCACACCAACAGAAATCATTACATCCATACAATTGCAAAATGTCACAACCATAATTTTTGCTGATAATACTCTATAGTCAAGCAGTGATGCACAACTGGTGAAATGACATTTGCGAGCAGGAGGAATATCTCAAATGTCACAAAGCTCATTAAGTATGATTACGTTTACCTCGCAGTGAAAATCACCGGTCTTAAACAGGGGAAAAGCGTACACACACTTGTAATGTTAGTGAGGGTGCAGCGCCCTCTTGTGGTCAACATATCATCAGCTTGTGTCACAACTTCTAGTTTAGTCATGTTTTAGGAGTTTCTGTTCAAAAGAAAAAAAACAGTTTTTCTTTGAAAAGAGCAAGTCATCACAAGGGCTGGGTATTTTACCTTGATACTGGGTACTTTCAATTTGATACAATTTAAAACAATAAATATACAATATATTTCCTATTATTATTGGAGATGAACTGTATTGGAGATGAACTGTTAACACTACCAGTCAATTTGACGGTTTCTAGTTTCTACTGACCGAGCGCTAGAACTACATTGTTTTCAGGTGTCGTCTAAACGCTGCGCAGGAGCCTGGTTGTTTTCTTAATTTCTTTGCAGCGTCTGTGCAGCGTCTCACAGGGCCTTACAGGCTAATTCTTGGTCATTCTTCTATTTTTTTAAAGAAATTATCTTTAATTTTTAAAATGTGACTATTGTACCGTTAACTCCATTCATTTGAATGTAAAACACCAAACTATTCTTGCTGTATTCCAAGTTATATTCACCAGTTTTAGCACTTATTAAGAGTGAGTAAAGATTTTAAAAAGAAAAATTACAAAACAATTAAAAAAATATATTATTTATAAAATATATATTTATTTAACCCTACTCATCATTGTGGAACATTTTAATATTTTTACATTGTTAATGAATGAGTTAAATGAAGTAAAATGTACAAATAAGAAAGTATTTGCTTACAACAGAATACAAGGTGTAGGATAAAATTTGAAATCTTAGTTAAATATTTGCCTGACATCCTTGTAATCTTCCGTTTCACTCAGCCCATGTTTGGCTTCTGTATCAATAGTATCAGCGCACTATTATCTCACTGTTTCATGTCCAATAAAATAGCAGTAAAGCAGCATCCAAAGAAAGAGGAGGATGTGGAGCTCAATCCCGTTCGGTTCATTGGACGTTGCCGCCAGCTTCCTTCTGTCAATGCACAAAAAAAAAGAATACATTGTATATAAACATAAACAGAACCGGAAGCAACAAAACAATCACTCACTTTAGTGTCATAGCGCTTGCTTGGAGCTCGGTGGTCCTTGGAACGTTCATTCCACCATTGCTGCCATGTCTTTTACTTTCAATATCAGTCCCAATCACTTCTTGTCTCAATTCGTAGTTACCACTTGTGTTATTGGCTCCTATAAAATCATCAGTAACACAGACTCTAAGTGTCTTCTTTTCATTTTCTGTCAAAGTAGAATCTTGTTTGCTGCTATTTCCGCCAACCTTTTCAACATTTGCAGACAGTTCTCTGCTCTTTCCTTCTAAAGATAACTTACTACACTGTTGAAACTGAATGCAGTGATCAGAAGTGGAAGTTTTCAGATTATTTGGAGGTCTTTCCTCAACTCGTGTTTTGATTAATTCTTTCTCCAGCTCAATATTTTCATTGTTAGCATTGGCTAACACGTCTCCACTTTTGCATTTCAAATCCAGCACACAGTCACTGGCATTAGCAAAGAACCCCCCTCGTTGCTTATCACTGATTGGACTGGATTCTTCACATTCCTCCTTTACTCGTGGCACCTTTCTTTGAGCCTGGATTTTCGACACATCTTCATTCAAATCCAAAATGTAGCTGTACGCATCCTCCTCGTCTGAATCAAGACGGTTCAAACTGTAAATCCCTTCCTCAGAACTCAGAGAAAAGCGAATTTCATTAGCTTTGGTTTGAGTGTAGCCCCGGTCCTGTGATCTGTTGAGCCATGAGCAGATCTCTGGATTGGCCACGGTGGCGTCCAAGGGGCTGGGAGGTTGCTGGCCACTTGAAGATTTGCAATTGTTGGAAGAGTGTCTGGCCCAGCGCTTCCACAGTAGCAGCTCGTGGCTGGTCTCCAGACGGCTGAACACAGGCTGGGCCTCTTCTGTGTCCGCCAGAGTTTCCAAAGATCTGAACTTGGAGATCTGTGGAGAACTGGCTGCAGCTGATAAATCCTACCCCAGAAACACATTGTTTTAGTGAATGAGAGCAAAAACATGTATTACACATCACCTTTTGCAGATTGTTTTCAACCCCCACCCCAATGCAACTGAATTGAACCCTTTAATTATCTTTATCCTGCCATTTATGTATATAACATTGCACTATAAATATTATATATGTAGATAGATAGATATCGATATATTGATATTGAAGTCATATACAGCTAGCTAAGAAACATAGCAGCTTCTCATATTGTATATTTTGTGTGCTCCCTGTGTGCTCTAACTACTGTCCTGCATGTGCGCTGCAACATTGACATTTCCTGTGGGACAAATAAAAGTGCTCTTATCTTTATTCACAAAGTCTGTTCAACAGTGCTTGATGTAGTTTTACTAAAGTGTTTAAAGCTATCCTAACTTTTTTTCATAAATGATACATGTTGAATGGCCCAATAAAAACCTCAACAGACTGCCTTCAACTTAACATATAAAGCATACTTGTCAGAAAGAGCCCTGTGAGTCACTATCTGATGCTTTGGGCTGACAACTGATTGACTGAGTGAGAGTGATCCTCTCTTTTTCTGCCTGAACATGTTTATCTAAAGAAGTGACAAAATACGTTCATGTGAAAACACGGTTTGTGATTTAAAAAACTGATGGGTTTTAGTCCAATCAGGTTAATTGGGTCTTCTGATAGACACGACTATCAAAGCCATTTAAAATTAGAATCCATCAAAAACAATAAATTTTATGAAACTATATTATTCTTATCAAAGGCCTTTCTTTTGTGTCTATCTGTTTTACTGATTTGTTTTATTATCTGAAGAACTGAACGTACTGTATTTGTTGTGACCCACATTGTTACTAATATCTATATCTTAGCCTTCGTCATTAGTATCTGTTCTGATGTTTCTGTTCTGATGCACATTGATACATATCATATAAAAAGTGTTGTTCTCTTTTGTTTGATCTGGAAGGACTCGAAAAATAAACCGGGTTACAGGTGCAATCGCTGCTGCCTCTTTCTTCATTTCTCAACACTTTACCAAGTATTTTCTCACCACAACCATGTCTGGACAGTGCCTCAAAAACAGAGAAACATATGTAATGATGGACTTCTCATCTGGATAGCTGCAGGTCACGTCTGAGGGGATGACAGTGGTGCAGTTAATCATTCACCCAGTTCTAATATCACCACAAGGTATAAAAATAACAAAACTTTATTATCATGAGTACATGTTCTACCTTTAGGCTCCAGCAGAGGGGGTATGTCCAGGCTCTGCTGGGCTATCCTGAAGGCCTGCTCCAGGTTTTCCTCTGGCTCTTTAGTGAGGCATCGTCTCAAGTCCACCGAGTCTGGGTTTAAGGACTTTATCAAAGCTAAGAAGGCCAGGCCACTCCTCCAGCTGCGTCCAAAGTCAAAAACTTCGACTCCAAACCTGATAACAAGTGAAAATCCAATGTAAGAGGACTGTTAATGTGAGAGCTCCAGGAAGGAGCTTGTCTGTTCCAAAGTATTTTTTTTTTTCTTTCAGAAAGATGTTTATTTCACTTTATAAACTGCTATTGTTGTGCTTTTATTCAGTTCTAGACACGTCTTCTGTGCAGCCAAGTATTTCAACAAGTATTTTGTGAAAACAAGTTAAAACATGCCAGTTCAGGGCAACCAGATACTGGATATTGCGCTTTTTAGGACACGCAAAAACGCTTCACACGTCATTATTCTGTCACTCCATACAAAGTGGTGATAAACTACTACTGTAGCCACAGTTGCCCTGGGGCACACTGACAGAAGCGCGGCAACCAGTATGTACCATCGTCCCCTCCGACCACACACACCTGACTCATTCTAGGCCATGTGGGTGAAGTGTCTTGCCTAAGGACACAACAACAGTTTGGCACCTTACAGCCGCAGCCGCCCCACTGTGGCACCTGGTACTAACCAGACCCTGTCCTGCACAGCTTCAGAGGTCTGCCGGCATCTGGCTTTTACATGCAAGTATGGCCACAGTAGAGAGTTGGTTCTTACTTGGCCGTGCATCTCTGGACCCACTGCAGCAGGCTCCTGATGGTTTTGCCGTGGTACTTGTGGCAGTTGGCTTTGTTTGTGTTTGGTAAAGACTCGGTCAGCTCATTGTCCGGTGTTAGAGAGGTCAGACTGGAGGACAAGCGCCTGCGTAGTCCTCCGGTCATCTCCTTCACCTGCCGCAAACAGTTATAGTTACAATACATCATATGTTGTCTGTCAACTTTTAGCAGTACAATAAAGCCAGAGCTGACAGGGTTCATTTTTCACCCATTCTGAAAAAATAAACATGTCTAAATGGTTTGAGCATGGTTATATTGCACTTGTAATACTCAGCTGAGGATGGGAGGCGCACCTGGAAATGGAGGATGATGTTCCAGATGAGATGCAACACGACTGAGACCACTCCATCGGCCACAGCGGAAGCGTCGATGCCCAGCAGCTTCACCTGGGACAAACCACAATTTTGATGACATTGATATCTCTGTTACTACTTCAAATCCCAGCTTTTCTGTGTAAAATGTGCATGTTCTCCCTGTGTCTGCGTAGGTTTCCTCCGGTTTCCCCTTCCACTAATAACATGTACAATAGGTGTGAATGTAACGAGTGAGATGAATGGTGGGGGCTTTTAATGCGCCAGTGTGTGTGCGGCGTCTCGCTTCTGTCATCACTGTGTAAAAATGTGCTATAAAAATTTCAGTTTCATTATTTATTTATTAAATGTGTACATTTGTTCTAAAGCTTTATCATGGAAATCTCTTATTAGTTTCATCAATGTATGAAGAATGTCAAAATCATACCAGAAAAGACATAAAACTGTTCCAAACAGTAAAATGATTCTAATAAACAGATATTAGTCTCAAAATAAGTGTTTCGTTGGTGTGAACCTTTTTATTTCTTGCACATTTGTTTGTGTGATTCTGCTTCACTTTTGATCTAAATAAATATGTTTATGTAAAATTTATTTTTTTAATGCCATGGAAACCAACTGTTTACATATTTAAATATATGTTACGTAGGATGACGTTTTAATACCTAAGGTGTAAAAAGATAATTCTTTAGGCTAATCGCCATAAGTGGTTATTTTTGTGACTTTATTTCTTGATAATTACTATGGATTTCTTTCCATAGTATATTTAAACTTATTTACTATTGTGTGAAAATTAAATGCACAAAACAGGACTTACGTGTCGGTCATCGAGGAAAGCTATGGCCTTGGAAATGTTGTTGAGTCTGAAAATGCGATGAGAGGCCGGTCTGAACCTGTAAAGCTGATAACATAAAAGGTAATTAAGACAATTTTATGCAACTACACACAACATTCTAATAGTTAAACATGTATTATCTTGTATTTAAAAACAAAAGTTATATTTAGTGAAACATCCTAAAATCACGATGCATACTTTTACCTCTCACCGTAATTGAAGCCATATTGAGCCATGGCTAAGACTATTTATTATAATGCAATTGAGGCAAATGTTAAAATGTTACTGAAATAAACTAAACTAAGCTAATCTAGATATTATCCCAGTATCTGGTAAAATGACTCATAACGATGCTTCTAACCCACCAGTTTGCAGCCAGTCAGCTCCTCAAGTAGCATCATGAGGAGTCTCCCATCCTGAAGGTCCCTACAGAGGTTGTGGACTTCAGCTGGAGGCTCGCGCTGGAAAATTCCAAAACATAAAAAGATGATGTCCCAGAATGAATATTTCTGACCATGGGGCACTGGACATTAATATGCAGGGTTTTTTTGGGGTTTTTTCAACAAGATACCCTATTCCAAAAAGTCCCTCCCTTTGACATTATAACCTGCAAGATATTCTGGCGCAGACTAATTAAATCAATGGCGATAGGCCTCAAGGGTCTGAATCCTTTTAAACCAACCAGGAAGCTGCGGGTGTTAGCATAGGTTGGTTCATAATATCAATCAATCAACTTCCATTTGTAGAGCGCCTTTCCACAAGGCCACAAAAAGTATTTCACAACCCATCATCATGCATGAACCATAAACATTCAAATCCACATTCACATAAAAAAACACAATAAAATTACCAGAGGGCATTAAACAAAAATAGTAAAAAATAACATCTGGCTCTTGGGACCTGGAACGTCCCAACGAACCTGGACCATGAATCAGTGGGCCATACAGCATTTTAGGAGGGAGAGGCAGTGCTTTGCCAACACCGTGTATGGTGCGGGAGTACAAGGGTCCGGGGTTCTCTGCTGAGGGCCGGAGCCAGAGCTGCGTTCGCATTGCTGGCAGTAAGTCAGACCTATTCCCGGTGCATGTTTGCCTCCGCCAAGGCTGCCCTTTTTTACGGGTTCTGTTCACTGTCTTTTTGGACAGAATATCTAGGTGCAGCCGGGGTCGGACGGGGTCCGGTTTGGAGACCACAGGATTTCATCTCTACTTTTTGCCAGCGATATTGTCCTTTTGGCTCCAACGAACCAGGACCTGCAACACCCACTAGGATGGTTTGAAGCCGAGTGTGAAGCGGCTGGGATGAGATCCAAATCTCAAAGGTTTACGCAGTGGAGAAGTCCTTCTTCAAGTATCTCGGGGTCTTGTTCACGAGTGAGGGAAGAATGGAGCGTGAGATTGACAGGCGTATCGGTATCGGACCGTTGTGGTGAAGAGGGAGCCGAGGCAAAGCTCTCGATTCACCGGTCAATCTTTGTTCCCTCTCTCACCTATGGTCATGAGCTTTGAGTAGTGACCGAAATGACAACATGGCGGATACAAGCAAACAAAATGACCTTCCTCCGCAGAGTGGCTGGGCGCTCCCTTAGCGATAGGGTGAGGAGCTCAGTCACACGGGAGGAGCTTGGATTAGAGCCGCTGCGTCTCCACGTGTAGAGGAACCAGTTGAGGTGGCTTGGGCATCTTGCCTCCTGGACGCCTCCCTGGGGAGGTGTTCCGGGCACGTCCCACCGGGAGGAGACCCCAGGGAAGACCTAGGACTCAGCTGGCCTGGGAACGCCTTGGGGTCCCCCAGATGACCTGGAGGAAGTGTGTGTGGATAGGAAAGTCTGGGCGTCTCTGCTTAGACTGCTGCCCCCGCGACCCGGCAACGGATGAAGCAGAAGAAATATGTATTTTATTTATATTTCTATGTTGATTGAGTGTATTAAAACTACATCAAGCTCTGTCTATTCTTAAAGCTAGGGCACTTGATTTTCAAATGGAAAGTAGGGCAATAATATATTTAAAACCAGCTATAGTTCCAATCTCCCTAGATTTCGTTTTTACCCGTTTATTTTTTTTTTTTTTGCTTATGAGACTCTTATGTGGAAAAGTAAATAAATATATATCCATATTTTATGTATTGTCTTTTCGTGACTTTGTTTCTTGTTTTAGTGTGAATGAATAAAAGGTGATGAACCAAATCAGCTTCCAGGTCAAAGAAATGTCTTACACAAGTTTGTGAAACAATACATGTTTAAGTAAGATAAAGACAATGACCTGTTTGGTTCACAAGGTTTTGCTTATACAAGGTTCTTTTTGTGGCGATAAACTAAATGTAGACATCAGAAAAGTGAGACTTTGAAGTGCTTTAACATGCAGCTCACATATCTCATAGAAAAATTTCCAAAATGTTTGTATCACCTTAATTGTAAATTCAAATATCATCTCACATGTGAAAGACAAATGACTTACTCTGCTTAGGTAGACATTCATCCACCTGGTAAATGTTCGCTTCTGTATCTCCTTCCTTCCATCTGTTAAATATCAAACATTAGAACCTCTTAAGTCGATGCAGTCATTATAGAGTGCCACATATTTACCTTGAGTGTTCTGCTGTGACATCTTCTCCTCTAATGATCCATGGCGCTCTGTACAAAAGCCTGATGTTGTAAAAGCAAAGTGAGACTGTCTTGCCTGAACATGCTCAAACTATCCCCTTTCCCCCGCAGACTTCTCCCTATTGGCAGGTTTGAACATTTGCTGTATGTCTTAAAGCGGTCAACACACAAGGATGGAAACAAAACGAACATTGTGAAAAGAGCCTGCTCAATAACATGCAGGTCAAGACCATGCTTTAGCATTATCCACCACTGTTAAGGTGTGATTCTCTTTTTATAGTTTATTACTCATTTAAGAACTCCTTTTCTGATTGTGTCTGGTATCTGACACAGGTATGCTAAAACCACGTTACATTACCAAAAAAATGTTGATTGTTTCACACTGTCAGTTCCCGTCTATGCAGATATGACGTCTAATTGTGTCCAACGTCGTGTAGGCTGTAGGCACAGTGTGAAACATGGCGGCACTGGTTTGATCTGCACTCTTGCTTCTCAGCAAGGCAAAAACATTTCAGAGCTACTCAACAATGTTTTGAATTGTTAAAACATGTACAGCCTCAATATAAATCAGCCCATGAATAAAATAAAAATACATAAAGACAAAACTTGTGCCTTATCCGGGAGGTCCCATCTCCATTACATTTGCATTTACCATAACATTAACTAGAAAAAGTTTTTCCTGTTGTGGGGTTGCTTCTCCAGATCTGACCTGTAATGTGGTCTCTTCCTTTATACAGGAGGTTATGATGTCAGATTGCTTATTTGTTTAGATACCTACAGGATATGCAAATAAATGTCCCCTTTATTTATGTATTTTCAATTCGCTTTTTAAAATGTGTGCTGTGTTCAAAATTCTATTCATGTATGTATGTTTAAAAAATCATATAATTTTGGTCTGAAAATTGTAACATTTCAAAAAAAAAAAAAACATCCTGCAGTGTTTCCTGCAATACATAGAGCAACGAGCATATGCTCTATAAAGGAATACAAGGTTAGGGTGAACTTTTTTTTATTACAAAAATAAAAAGTTTTCTTTATTAAACTACATTTCAGATCATAATATTTACTTCAGTAAAAGAAGCTTCCCCACCAACCTACTGCCAGTTTTCACTTCAATACCATATAGGTAACGACAATACATAACCAGACAGTATTGTTTTACTTTGACAATATGATTCACAAAAATGATCTTTTCTTGTAGTAAAATAAGGTGTCAAGTTTGCATGAATGGCACTATGCTGTACCAATTATTATGAAAGTGATTAATGTTTTTGCTGATTCTTTATATTGTCCTCACCGTAAAGACATGCCAAAATATTGTAAAAGTGTTTCTCTAGAGAACAAAAAGCTAGCTTTAGCCCGCTAAAATAACTTAAAACATCATGCAATTTATCACCCAATAATCTTTAAAAACTTCACAGTAGATGTTTTAGAATGTGACATTTTCTCAATATACAGTATACAGTATATGTATACAGTCTATGATATATAAACACACACCTTTCACCCTCCACGGGCGGTTATCCCTCTCTAAGCTTTGGTATTCTACCAGAGGCCTGGGAGCTTGAGGGTTCTGCGCAGTATGTTTGCTGTTCCTAGAACTGCACATTTCTGGACCGAGATTTCCGAGGTTGTTCCAGGATCTGCTGTAACCGCTCATCTAGCTTCGGGGTCACCATGGACACTACTGTCACCGTACCCTACAGGCCCTCTCCAGCTCCTCTCTGAGCCCTTGGTACTTCTCAAGCTTTTCGTGTTCTTTTTTCCTGATGGAAATATATATTTAATGATTAATGAAAATAACGGGGTAAGAAAAACACCCCATCAAAAGGTAGGAGTGGAAAATGACATTGTTATTATAATAATAAACATGAAATTATTAAATTGAAGGCAAGGAATTTGGCTGAAGAAATCCATCTTTGTCCTTCCACTTCCCCAGGGGCAGCAGTCTAAACAGAGACACAAATATTACCCACACATTTCCGCCCTCCCAGGCCAGGTTGAAAGGCAGAAAAGGACTCCTGAATTAGCCAGAATTGTGATAAAAACAGCTCCAGGACAAATCATATGAGGAAAAAAAGTTGTAACATGGGTATGCAATGCATAATATAATTCCAACTGCATTAAAAGGCCAAGAATAAATTTGATCATACTTCTACTCTCCATTCGTAAATCTACCTCTACTGGTGGTGCTTCAAACAAGTGAAGGGATTATGTTATAGGATTTTTTTTTTTAACAATAACTAAAAATGAATTACACACATTCTAATACAATCCAGGAATAATATGAAATACTTTTGATGTTACGGACTTCACATTTTAGTTGTCAACTTGGTCACAACAGGATCTTCACCACCTCCGGAAGGAGTCATTCTTTCTAATGATTCCTTCCAGAGGTGGTGAAGATCCTGAATCTACAGGGTCACACCTTTTAATTTGTGCAGCCTTCTCAAAATTAAAAGCAATATATGTGCAAGGGGCTATTTAAAGCTGCCAGAAGGAATACATCAAATGAGCTTATTATTATACAAAACAGGTTGTTTGTTGGTATGAGAAATTTTATTTTTTTTAAGTCAACAAAAACGGAATCAAGGAGCCTATGAAAACTAGGCACTTAATTGATATTGTCTTGACGATAGTCGAGTGTTTTACGACACAAAAATCTATTTACATAAATTTCACAATGGACAACAGTCTTTTGAAGTCTAAGAAACAATTTCTCAAGACGATGGTGTAAAAAAAAGGCCAAATCATGTCAGAAAAGTGTATTTTTCACGTCTCAGGTCTTGCAATGTTTGTTTGTCTCTTAAGTCATTTCTTTCCCATGATGAAACTCGGAACTTCAGCATCATCATCTGCCTCTCGTTCCTCATCCTCCTCATCTTCGCTGCTATTTGAGCTCTTTTCATCACTGCCTGCATCGTTTTTGTTTTTAGCCTCTTCTTTGGCTTTCTTCGCAGCTAGCTTCTTTTGCTTAAGCTTTTCCCGCTTCTTCCTCCGCTTGGCCGTCCTCTCATCTGCCGCCTGCTTATTCTTCTCCAGCTTCTCCATGTACTTTTCGTTTTTGTTGTGGACCACTGACATTTTGTCGAGAAAATCTTGCCGCTGGTACTCTCTGCGGCGGAGGTGGCGGTAAACGTGGAACTCTCCGCTGCCCGCCCCGGCGCTGGAGCCCATCACGTCGCGCACAAACTCCGGCGGGGCCCTCGGGTTCCATTCCTTTGGACGATCTGGGATAGGAGCAGGCTTGTCGGGGTTTCTCATCAACTTCTCCAACTTTAACCTCTGCTCCTCAGCCGGAGTTTTGGCGATGACGAGCGGCTGAGGCTCCTTTTTAGACGTTTTACCCGCATTGTTATTATTCTTCTGCGCGTCTGCCGCCATGTTGGTGAAAGGAGACTTCCGGTTCGATGTGGTGAACCGGATGCACTAGGCATGTACCACTGACGTTGCGTTGCAAGCATAGACTGTTGCAAGACTTATCTTGTTTGGATTTTTCTAACTTGTGTGTTTTTATTCTTTTTCGACTGCTTTGAATTTATTGATTTGGTAGAAAATGTACTCTCTTTTTGATGCAGATTTAGATACACGCGAACGATTCTACTAAAATGCACGAATTATTATTATACATTTTTAAACATAAGAAAAACAATTCCAAGTCACATCGTGAATATAAGTCTTTGTCAATGTTCGTATTTTTGAATGTTTCAGAAATATTTTTCTTCAAAAAAATACCCTCGCGAACATAACAATCCTTCTATTGAATTGAACAGTCAAACTAGCCAATGAGGGTTCAGTTGAAACCATAGTCCCGCCTCTTTCCCAAGAGCGTGATACCCAGGGTTGAGTAAGCGCTCGCTGTCACCCCGTTGTAGACATCTTCTCCTTCCATAGTTCGTCCCTTTGGATTAAACAACATATAAAAAATGAATACGCTTATGTGTACGGCGGGACGGTGTTTGCGGTCGGGATCAGCTGCTTTTTTCCTCTCCAAGCCGGTGGACAGTAGAGTGCGCTTGGCCTCAGCTCGGCTCCTGTGCTCGGCGAGTTCAGACATTCAGAAAGACCTTGGCGAAATGGTGAAGAAGGACAAAGTTGTTGTGTTCATGAAGGGTACTCCTGCACAGCCCATGTGTGGCTTTAGCAATGCGGTGGTACAAATTCTACGAATGCACGGCGTGGATCACTACGGAGCCTACAATGTTTTGGAGGATCAGGATCTCAGACAGGGTGGGTTAACCTGAATGGAATTTGTGACACTAGTACTACAGCAGCAACAAGTAGGCTAGCCACATTATTCCTACATAACCCCGACACGGAAAACAAGAGTGTCATGTGTCATGACCACTGTTTTGATTTGATTAAAAATCATAGTTAGAACAACTTGTTCTTTTTTTCTAGAGGGCATATGTTCTTTATCAGTAAGCAACAGCAGAGGGCGTGGTGGTTAAAAAGTAAACGTTTGTTAAGTGTCAAAAAAGTAACTATGACGTAAAGGCCACGAAGCTCTCAGTAATTCAAGCAATCTAAATAGCACAATACAGAATGTATTTTTTCTAAGAAGATCCAACCCAATTCACTTTCTAATGTCCATGTATGTAAGTGTATTAATAGCCCTGCCTGCCTCACACCAGATTTAAACAAGTAAAACAAGTATGTAGTTCTCCATAAATAAAATGTTTATAATGGTCATCATAAAGCTCGATTAGTTTGATATGTTATTGATAAATGTAACCATTGTCATCTATTGTCAGAGACATGTCAAAACCATGAAAGATTTTCTTTCAGGCTTGAAGCATATTTCCTTGGTATGTACTAACTAGAAGGAACAAGGAAACTGTCACAACAGCAGTTAACTGGTATTGTGTGAGTTTGGTCAGGCTCATCATGAATGGACAATATATGGGGACCACAAGAGTGACTCAGCAAAACTACATAGCTGTTCAGACTTTATCTCTGTAATATTGCACTCGACAATTATTGGTTATTAATTATATAGTTTAATACTTAATACTTGCAAAATTAATTTCTCCATTGTAAATACTGAAATATGACCAATAATTATTACATACCCACTATTGTTTGTTTCCACAGGCGTAAAGGACTTTTCCAACTGGCCCACGATCCCTCAGGTCTACTTCAACGGCGAGTTTGTGGGAGGCTGCGACATCCTGCTTCAAATGCACCAGAACGGAGACTTAGTGGAAGAACTAAAGAAGTTAGGCATTACCTCTGCTTTACTGGAAGCAGAAAAAGAGTCAAAGTAAAGACACAATAGGGGACATTTGAAGACGGAAGGACAATGAGGGATGTTTGTCCTCTCACATCACAATAAGGCGCACACTATATTAACTGTGTTGGTTCTGCTGGTCTTTAGAACCCATTTACCTCTGCTTCCAGCCCAAATAGAAGATTCAATACTATTTATTTGATATTTCTATTATCACTTCAGCTTTGGCAGTTTAGACTGCCAAAGCATATTTCTCCAAATGGTGGGGAAAGATTTGTTCTCCACCATTTTAAGTCTTTGCTTTGTTCTTTAAACAACCAGACCAGCCCATATGAAACACTTCAGTTATCTATAATTACCACTGTTTATTTTTATACCAACATCCAAATGTGTCCGTTGTATTACCTCTGAAAAGACTACACATATGATAATCACACAGTAAAAACATGTCCTTTTTAGTCTGAAAAAACTGTTTATTCTGTACAGTTGTATTATCATGTAGTACACTGTAATATGTTGTACACTTGAAATGTATTTTAGTTTGATGTTAACTACCCAGGCTTTATTAAATATTGCTATTGAGTTGATGTAAAAGTCAGTTCTTGCACAGGAATGGATAACACACTGCATTTGAATTTTACAATGGTTTCAGAATGAGTTTAATGTGGTTTGGGCTGACCATTGACCATTGACCATTGACCATTACAAAATATAATTTAACTTGAGAAGTCCCATCATGAAAGAAGCTAAGATTTTGGGATGTTTGTGCATTAGATCCCATACTGGTCAATCTAAACAATGTCTCCCTGAAGTTATTGTAATTACCTGTGTACTAAGCCTTTACCAACTGTTGGAAACTGAACATGGTTGATCTCTCCATTGATTTTATTACAAAACACTATATACAAACATTAGGCACAAGGTACAAGAGGTTGTTTTAAATGTGTACAGTCCCGATCATGTATTCACCATAACATGACCTGTTTTTCTGGCTTGTTAAGAGTCCGAAGATGAACATGAATAAGCCAAATGTATTTAAAGAGTTGGGTCAAAGTTTGAGGAGGAAGCGCAGCACCAGGTCTCTCAGTGTAGTCCTCAGAGGCTCGTTGTTGTCGCAGACTATGTGAGTCCCGTCCTCGTCCAGCTGGATTAGAGTGTCCTGCTCCTGGAGGTGCAGAATGTGTCCCGCCGGCGTCTCCTCCACCTTAACCTCCGTTATGCCGTGCTGCCACAAGAAAACAACTTTTTTATCATAGAGTTTGGGATGGGAATGTCAAACAAAATGGTTGTAATTTTACTAATGTAAGATTAGCTGTAGGCTGACAAAAGCGAGGCTGGCAATCTGCGCAACCAGACTGACTTCTGAGATCTGACGAGATTAGTTGACGAGCAATAATTTACTTATTGTAGAACAAATAAAGGTTCTTGAGTTGAATTCCTTATACTTCTCACAATGTAGTTGAATAGCATCACAAACCTAAAATCAATTTGCATTTCAATTGCTCTATATCAGAAATATTCAACCTCCCCAGAGATCTGAAGATCTACTTCTATTTGCGATTGCAAGCTGTTGGGTCAGTATAACAATGATCACAAGCCTTTATATTATACAGTATATATAGTATAGTATAGTATAGTATAGTAGACTTTTTTTTTTAGTAGTAGACTTTTATTTATATACCGCCTTTTCACTGCACATCGGAGTCTCAAAGCGGTTTACAATTGTTGGGTGGGGGTGCCAGTACAGGAGGCACATGCCAGACCTATTGTACATATTTTTAGTGGTAGGGGAAACCGGAGGAAACCTACGCAGACACGGGGAGAACATGCAAACTCCACTCAGAAAGGCCCTGGTCCAACCGGGATTCGAACCCAGGACCTTCTTGCTGAGAGGCGAGAGTGCTATCCACTCAGCCACCGTGCCGCCCCTATAGTATAGCAGGGGTGGATAATTGGTCAGAGAGAAAAGCCACAATCTTTCGGTGTCGTCCAGTGAAGAGCCACACTTTTGCAGCCCCGCAAGCTCCAGGGGTCTACCACATTAACCTCTTTTTGATTTATATTAAGGCATTAATACATTACTTTTATATTATTAAATAGATTTTCCCCATATTGAACGATCTCAATGTTTGTTTGCTTTTTCCTTGAAAAAAAACAACACAACTTTTATGACAAATACAGTGTTTGTATTTTTTAATGGATGCTAATTATATATACTAAATATAAATTACGCTGTTTTTTACTTTAAGGATCAGCTGCACAGGAGCGGACTGTGACTGCAGACAGAGATCCGCTGGTAGATCATGAGATACAGGGGGCTGCTCTACAGTCTAAATATAAAATTAATAGGAATAGGATTAATAGGAAACAGACCTTTTGTAATGTGGCCAGAAATCCCTCCAGTGGTACAGCTCCACTGAGCAGAGCTTTGGGACTCATAAATGCTGGGGGCTCCTCTATGACACGCTTCCTCTTCTTACTGGGCGGGGCTGGAGGGGGCTTAGGTACCGACTGCAAACAGGAACAGATGTATCAACTTGCATTTTTCACTTTATACAGAAAAATAATCAATAATGCATCAGTTTTATATAGGACACTCAAAAACAACTATTGTGACCAGAGCTGCCCCGGGGCACATCGACACGGTCACTTTACAGCCGTAGCCATCCAATTGTGACATCCGGTGTTCCCAGAGGTCTCCCATAAAAGTACTATCCGGAACCTGCCCTGCTTCACTTCAGAGGACTGACAGGATCTGGCCAGATAGTTGAGTGTCTTGCAGGTATGACCACATATTATTCTATAATAGTGATCTAATGTTGACTCTAGGGGTGTTTATATTTCTATTCAACATTTACTTTATTACTTTAATTACAGCTATGGTTAATTGAATTACTTTATCCATGAAATATCGATATTGAACTAAACAATGCACATTGAAGCTGATTTAAAAGCATTCTTCACCTGAAGCGTGTGCTTGTTGTCTTTAGAGTGAATCACAGCAGAAACTGTCGCCACAGAGACACCAGGCTTCACCTCACATGGCACCAGGGAGTTCGCCAACTAGGAAAGAAAACACAGAACTTGAATTATGTTAGTACTTGGTGAAAACGCAGATCAGGCCAATTAAGCAAACTCATTTTGAAGTTTCCCCCATTCCGGCCCAAATTGTTTCAAATGATATATAGGTAAAACAATGCATATAAACATATTTTAGGATAATCTTGTTCACACTTTTATGAACATGATTATCAGATAGTTCTTTGCTTTCTACAGTGTATTTATAAACCTGAAGAAAGAAAACTTGTGCTTGTCTGCCTGTAAAAATGCCTGTTTATCACGTTCACTTAGGGCAGGGATGTCAAAGTCAGATATGTCATGGTGCCGAGGGGCAGACTGGTTCAATGATTATTAAAAACATATGAACCCTGACCCAAGACGGTATACCGTATTTTACTTAATAATCAAATTAAACTTTGTTGTTCTAGTGGCAATTAACTCAAATCGAGAGAAATGTTCTGCAGTTCATGTGTTTTTTGTCTCATCTGTAGTTATTTTTCTTTCAAAGAACTTAAATAATTTTTGCGCAGATGGTTGAAAGAATGGTTGAAAGTGTGCCAGACCTCGGGCATGATGTAGACTCGCTCGTATCGTCTCTTAAAAGGCAGGTTGAGCACGGAGCAGCGGCGGTACGGCATCGGAGGAGGCTGCAGCTCCAGCATCAAGTCTGAGCGATGGGACTGAGACACGGGAGGCTGGGTGTACTGCTCTGGGCAAACCACATGTAGGGGCTGCCACACGGAAAACATTAAGGCATTAGTGGAAGATGCACAAAGCATAATTAAGCAAGCCGATGAATTGTTGATATGTTTTTGACCTGCAATAAATATTGAACGTTTTAGTCAAGTGGCAGTTGGCAGTGGAGAAAAGTTGAAAATCCAGTTGAAAGATCCAGAAAATAGTATAGAGGTTTTATAATGGATTCCTTTAATCACAACTTTCCACCTATTCAATTCGCACCGTATATTAAAATGTCCCCCAATATTTGTACCAGATGAAAACTGTTCAATAAAATACTATAGCTATAAACCAGAAAATGTATGAGCCAAAAAGACCAGTAGGGGGTGGCCTTGTGCTTCTTTGTAAGAAAGGACCATTACTGTTGTTTGTTTGTAATAGTGTACTCATGAGTAAACAACTAGGACTAGTATCGTCATAGTAGTGCTGGTTGTTCTTTAACTTAAAAAAAAAGAATAAGGCTTGAACTTTCAAAAAAATGAAAGGAGGATAATATTTGGTAAAAAGCAGAGGACTTGGACTTGAAACATTGACCACATGTCCAAAACCTCACCTGGATTTCTTTGAGCAGTTTAGAGACCTGATGGAAATTGAGGCGCGTGTCGATGGGGCAGTAGATGCACTTCATGGACAGAGGCTGGTACGGAGCCAGAGCATCCAGGTAGTTAAAGTCAGGTTCTTGAAAAATTAAACAAATAGTACAAACATTTCATAATTAGTCGGGCTTAAGATGGAAACACTGCATGTCAACTTTTGTCATTTCCACATTTAGGTCATTTAGTGCCACAGTTTTGCTTTTATCACACCTCCAAGTTTTAGAAGTAGCTGGCTGGGAAAGGCCAAAGACATGAGAGATATAATATGTTGAATCAAAAAGGTAATAAACAGTACAGAAGTTATTATATGAATACCCCTGGAGCTACCATGTGAACATAGAGAGTATTACCAGTGAAGATGATGGTGTTGAGGCTGGATTTGCCCCACAGTTCCATGAAGTGCACCACGTCCCCAAAGCGCAGAGAGGGATGCCCCGTGAACACCACACATGGCTGCCGGAACTCGTTACTGAAGTCGCCATGGATACTGGGGTAATGCTTTAGCTTATTCGTTTGGATTAACTGCAATACAGTGACGCAGAGTGTCAATGGATTTTTGTTTCATTGATCAATTCTTGAGCCATGATTGTTAAACAAAATACACAATATAGAAAGCAGAGTACCTCCGCATGGGGGAATGGAGGTTCTGGGAGATACACTTTGCTTTGTTTATTGTGACACAGCCTGAAAAGACAAATTGATATTGATATTTGTAAGGAATCCATGAGACCGTTCATCTCCAATCAAAAGTTGAAATTAGGCTTGATGTAAATGGCGATGGCATGTGTGCTTCAACATTGAACACACTTAAGATCAAACTTAACTTAACTGATCCTAATCGCTTCACCGTTTCTTACCACTCCGCAAAAATTTGGGAGAACTCCAGAGAACTGTTGGCGACGGGTGAGATGAAATAAAAAGGCGTGGTCCCAAGATTAGCGCTGTCTATGAACTGATACAGACACTCCAGCAGGTCATAGATGACTCCAGAGGAATAACAGGGCACCAGCACGTTGCCCCCGGCACGGATCGTCATGGCTAGAAGCACAGAACATATGTGTAGAATCAAAACCTACAGAACGGTGGTTAGTTTTAGATTTATTATACATTTATTACTCAAAGAGTTACATTTCTTTGTTGTTTTTCATATTTATTTATATGAAACATACAAATTGACCAGATAAACAATACTGAAAAGAGATGACAACAGTCGAGTTCATGTGTGATGGTATTCATAATATGAATGGAAATTATATATGGACCGTCTTAATCACATGTTTTTCTTAGAAAGTTTGAAAGCTACTTTGTTAACTTTTGACACTGAAATTTGACTGTATACATGGTCTTTTTGTTTCAATTATTATTGCGATCATGTTATGCATTTGGTGTTCATTTACCAAGGTTGCTGCAGAATTCTCCAAGCATGCCGTCTGGATTGGCCGTGGGCATCTGAGTCAATCCTGTAAGAATCAAAACGTCACTGTTCTTCAAAGAGCTCTGATCCATCGGCTGAAAAATAGATAAATAATAATAATCAACAAAAAAGAATTTGCTTATTTTACATCTTTAATGCTATAAGATTTAGTTGTGTTTGCTAAAAGATGCATGGTGGAAAACAAACCACAATTTTCAAAATACATTTTGCGATAAGAGTTATGATTAAAAATATATGTAATTGTCAGCAACAAATGAGAGCTCTTTGAAAAGCTCCACAGGTGAATGTGTGTAAACAATTACATTAGATTTTGAGTTAAATATTTTCTCTGTCTGTCAGAATTTGTTTAGTTTTAAAATGTTCACCTGTGGATGTGTGGTGAGCAGGGAGGAGCCGGACACGTACGCTACTTTCTCATGATGAGACTGAATGATCCAGTTTGAGCTGCCCAGAGAATACCCTGAGCTGAGAGGAGAGACCTGCACGGCACCAAACAACTCCTGCAGAGAGAGGATATAATTACAGAGAATATAGGTCTGCAATCAAACTGCAGGTACATAAAGAATTCATTTAAAAATGGTTTGCCCTTCCTCAAGATATGTCTTTGAAAGTTTCTACCAAAGTGACCAAATTTCATTGTATATCTAATTTTTTATTATCAAATATTATCTTGTATTTCGAGATTAACAAGATAACAACATAAAGGATTCAGTTGTTAGCAAAACAATGAATATGATGAAGTGCTTGTATTTGTTGATCATTCATTGAGCACTTAAATCAACCCCGCACAAATGTATGACTGGTGACTACCTAAACCCAAATCATTTTCATGTCATTCTAATGCATTTGGTCATGATGTTTTATGTCATGTGTTCTTCTTACCACTTTTTGAGAATAGCCCACAAGTTGGACTTTGCTCAAAGCAGAGTTGACCTCCTGCATTGTGTAGCACTTTTTCCATGCCCACACTTCCACGGCATCCTTCAGTGGTCCTGGAAGTAGTCTAGCAACACAGAAAGTGAATGAGTCCATAATTTGATATGCAAGTGCCAAAATAACTACACAGATGCATTTATGTATTCAAGTAGTTTAGTACCAGTTTACCTTTGCACCTCCTTGCTTTTCCAGCAGGTGGCAGATTGTGGTTTTGGGACTCTCTCCATAAAGTTAACCAGCTCTTCCATCAAGAGTCTGAAAAGGAGGAGTAACTTTAATATTACAACTGTACTGAAGTATATTGAATTAATTCATACAAATATGCAACAACTAAGTACATTTGCACAAGCAGTGAATGAGTAGTTCCATTGTTCTGAGGAGAGAAATGTGCCAAATGAGACGTGAATACCTGCCAATCTGCAGTGTGGGCTCTGTGGCATAAACTGTGCCCATGAAACCAGAGTTTTCAGTGATGTAGGGTAGAGCCATCATACAGTGATAGTTAGAGATCAGAATCACATCTATAGTTGATAAGTCTAACAATTCCCTCTGTGGAAATGTCAAAACATCAATACATTTTTTTTTTTTTTGGCATTACATAATAGTACAGTTGTTACCTCTGGAAGACAGAATTCTGGCTGTGAATCCACAAACACTCGTCCTGCACACTCCTTTAATTCCTGCATTATAGGAGATATGAAGACAATAAAGTGCATTACCATATAATTATGTGTTTATTGTACAGGGTTTCAATGGGTGGAGGTCTGGATGCTGTTTTTCTATTTGAGACATTGATGTTTGATGATGCTCATTCTCAGTTATGTTGAAATAAACAATGAAATACATTGCTCCCCAATAGTATTGATATGACACTGTTATAAACAATATTTTGGTGATTGTGTTGCAGTGTCTTAATCACAAATCAGTGCAATTCTAGTAGGGGAGATTTATTCTCTTTAATTTGTAAGCGTACAGCTGATTATTATGTTTATCCTGCTTTGTCATACCTTTTATTCTGAAATGTCCGGACTGTGGGAAGGTTAAAGGTTCTTGTATCTTATCAAATCTAATATTTGCTCATTTAAACTAAAAGAGAAACATAAAAATAGCAACAAAAGTATACCTTTTCCAAGTTTATGGTGCCATCTTTGGACACCCAGCCAGGTAGCTTGGAGAGCCTTGAACTGTCAATAATAAACACATAATAATGATGTTGATGAATTGTGTTACTGGTATGTAATCAATGCTGTCGTTTGAGCCAAAGCAGAGTTTACTGACCTGTGCACCAGGGGAAGGGGCAAAAAGTTGAGGACAGAGGTGGTGTCCAGACCACAGTCCAGCATTATAGTGGTGGATTTGAATTTGAGGACATTGCAAGGTAATGTAGGGTGACCAGAAAAACAATACTGCAAAGAGATGCCAACAGGCGAGTTCATTTGTGATGGTATTCACAATATCATGGAAATTATGTATGGACTATCTCAATCACATTTTTTACAGTGAATCATTGTATGTTATGAATGGACATACACACGTTAGCTGTTAGCATATTAGCAATAACAGATACAAATGTAATAACCAGCCTGCTTTGAAATGGCGGGTGTCAGTTTGGAAAGGTTTTTTTGTTATAATTAGTATACTCACCAGCTTCATTCTAAAAAAACAACTACATTTACTTTTGAAGCCGCAAAAGATGCTAAAGCGTCAAAAGACTGATATCCGGAACTTCAAAATAGCACACTACTGCCCTCTAGCGGAGTGGGTATTACTCGCTTCGAATAAACTTCACTACTCGAAAATATCTTCATTTTAATCTTGCAGTTGTATTTTATTGTTGGGTTATGTACCTATACAGTATACTTTAAGCCAGATTGTAAATGAACTGATCCTACTATCGATTTAGAAATGACACAAATGTCCGCGTTGTCAATTGTGTGGTAATGTTATTGTTAGCTAACAGATGCTAACTTTTTTTTTTTTTTTTTTTTAAAGTTTTTTTTTTTTTTATTTTTTTTTTTTATTTTTTTTTTTTATTATTAAACATTTACAAACAACACAGATGCTAACTAGCTTGATCTGTCAAACTCAAACCACTCCCAGAGACTTTTCACCTCCGCACAGTTTTATTATTTGTGTAGCAGTCATGTTACGAAACCACTGTAGAGCTAACAGGACAACTGCTATTGAATGACTAAAGGCCCAGAATGTGCTAAATGTTACGTTATAGTCATGTTTAGCCGACTAGTTCGATGTTTGGTCATGGGGGAAGTTTACCATTTTTAGTCTAAAGGATTTTCGACTGGACGAAGACCGGTAAGGCTATACTTTTACTATTTGATCTGAATGCTTAGGTAAGTTCAATGACACAGGCTTAGCTCATGTGTTGTTAAGTATGTTTTCATTCATAAAAATGACAATAGTTTTATTTTTGTGCTGGTATGTTGTGTTGTAGGCTAGAATAACACACATGCATTGAAATAAAATATGTAATACTGCTAGATCTACATTGTTTTAGTCTTTCCGGACATTAGTATTGACAGGTTATGTTTGGCCCTATTTTTTATATTTATCATTGTATTATATGATTAGGAATGTTCCCTAGCAACTGTGTCATAATGCCTATTCATTTACTTCTGCTTTCTACGCTGCCGTCCAAGCAAGACTTCCCTCTTCACGCACACTTGCTCCAGCTCAAAATATGATACAAGAATTACCTTTGACTAAAGCAAAAAAAAATGTGTTTGTTGTAAATTATGCTAAACTTTAGAATTAACACTGAATCTCCCTCCCATGATGTAAAAAAACCAATTTGTGTTTTGTTTTTGTGTTTTGTTGCTACAGAGCAGAACACTTGGGGTGTGTGCCATGGGGAACAACTGCAGTAACCATCTGGGGATCCCCCCAGCCAAGGGTCCTCATCCTGTGGGCTGCACTGACTTCATGTTGGACCACACTGTTCAAGTGAGAGTTCACACAGCTTTACACAAAACTATGGTGGAGACAGAAATAATGGAATAATTAAAAAAAACATTCTTGTTGCACTTCTCGACTCAAAGTATGGCTTATTAAATAGTAAAGAAAATCCATCTATATACAGTTTATGATGATACAAATTCAACAAACAAAGAGTATGTATTATTGTTTCTAAGCTTGTTTGTGACTACGAGGGCAGATATTAGACTTGTTTTAGGCTTCATAATCAAAGGGAAACACAGGTTTCTTATCACACTGTTATACAGTCTGTCTTAAAACTGATATGAAATTATAGAACTTCCTTTATATCATCAGTAGGATCTATTTTATACATGATTCTGACAAGAGACAACATTGCCTTGACCAAAGGTGTATATCTTCTGTCATCAGTCCTTGTGAACTGATAATAGACACTGTGTCTCTGAGCTGCTGCTTAATACAATATTTGGTGATATATTATTTGATTATTTATCATTATTTTGCAATGCATGTATCATTTGCAATTGATATTTGTAATTGTTTTAACAGAATTAGATTTTTATATTACATATACATAAATGGGACTAATTTCTCTAGTTTATATTAATGTTAAGCAGCTGCTTGGTTGTAGTTCTGCAAGTACATTCTTGAATTAAATACTGAAAATACAAATAACCACACAGATGGCATTAACGAGAGAATGTGTAATTAAAGTAATTGATTGATAGATTTTAATAGGTATTATAAACAACATCTTTATTACACACGTAATATATTGTTTTGTTTTATGGCTCCTGACACTAGGATCTGCTCTTGCTTTCCTCTGCAGGGCAGTTTCTTCCGCCTGTACTACCCGTGCCAGCAGTCAGACAGAGCGGAGAAGCCCGACTGGGTCCCCTGTCAAGAATACTTCAACGGCCTGGCAGACTTCATGAAAATCAACAGGGCAATCAGCGAGAGGATTTTCAACTACCTCTTTGGTCAATAGTGTTTAGAACTTTATGTACTAACCTTTGTCTAAATCAATGGTTCTCAACATGTGGGTCATGAGACATAAGCTGGGGGTCGTGAAAAGATTTCCACATTTTTTGTTCTTTACAATTTCTAAATCATATTAATACAATCATTTTATTACAAACATTATTTTTTAGTGATGTGAAATACAATTCAATAAATGACTTTATAAAATAATATTGAAAATAATTTAGCATGTATTGGCGGATCAAATTACTACTATATTAAATTGTATAGAGTAAATAATACAACATTTAATATGGAATTTAGAATAGATAATTGTGGATATACTTACACCAGAAGTGTAATATTTTGAATACATCTTTACCAGTTAGTTTGAGTAGGTAAAGATCATTATAGTTTACCAATGCAAGGGTACAGTTAACAAAAAATACGCCACTGCACTGTAGCAATATATTTAACCTCATCATGATGATTATCTCCCTGAAAAATCAGGGAAAAAACTCAAGCATTTAGAGTCAGTCTAGATTCCTGCTCAGTATTTCTGACAATTATTTCCAAAGTGGCATGAGATGGAAAAAAATGCATATTTTAATTGGTAAATGTAGCACTGTCACTATAGTAAATTCTGCACTTACTCAGATTGTGTCATTGTAAGTCAAAAATACTTGACATTTGCTCCTCCCAAGCTTTATAAAGCGTTTTGGAGTTTGTATAAGCTAAAGCACATGACCTAACCAAAATAATATGACTAACCACAAGGCTTCACTGTGCACGGGTAAAGTCTTGCTCACTCTGTCTGATGTAATGTTTTTTTACAGGGTTGAATTATAATTAAGCTTTATCAACGTTCAGTTGTTATAATTCTAATGTAATTGTGTGTTGCAGGGTCCTATAAGATCCCTGCCTACATGGATGCTCCCTTTAAAGCACAAGAGAAGTGTCCTGTTGTTATTTTTTCACATGGCCTCGGGGCTTTCAGGTACAAATACAATCACAGTGATGTGTTACTTTTTTTTTGTGTCAAGCTATATTTATTGTGATTATTGTGAAATTAATTAAGCGAAATTAAATCCTACTGTTTTATTATCCCGTTTACTGTGGCAACCGCATTAGCTCATTTTGAAAAGCGTTTACAGTTGTTGTATCATGTATGTAATCGTTCCCCATGATTAAAGGAAAGTGGGCCTCAATTAGGGCTCTAATGAATAATTATTTGAATAGTTTATTAGTTGCTTGGATCTTGAAACTAAGTGACTATTGAATCGTTGATACAACGTGTAACAAGTCGTTACACGTTGGCCTATACAATAATAAAACCTGATCTCTGCCTGTTAAGTCTATGCAAGTTTAAGAAAAACTATTAATCAGTTTAAAATCATTTAGCACAGCCCTAAAAGAGATCAGAGAATCAAACAATCACAGGTGCATTAGTGTGAACGGGTCACTCACAGCTAATTACTAAATTAGTTTTTTCAAGTAATTATTTCAATATTTGATCCGATGAGTAGTAGTCAATGAAGTCTAGTGTAAGAATCTTAGAATAAATTGACATAATAGAAGAAATAAGCCAATTTTTTTACACACTAGAAAAGCGAGGATGAAGCCTCAGCTGATTTTTTGTAATTGATTTTCATTGCTGTAATTCATTTCTTCTTTCATCTTTTTTCAGGACCCTGTATTCAGCCATATGTGCAGAACTGGCATCTCAGGGCTTCATTGTGGCATCAGTTGAACACAGGTAAAATGTTTTATGTGCGTCACCGTTTAGTTTAGGGGTGGCTTTACCATAATGCAAATTCATGCCAAGTTTGCAATCCTGATACAAAGGAGAAAATCCCACTATGTTAAATATTAACTTTCATTACTCAACATAAGACAAGTGCTCCCACCAGGAAAAAAACGTATCAGTAGATCGGGTATCAGCTCAAGAATAGACTATCTGCTCTCTGTTGCATCAAAGTGGTGCAAAATGTAGTTATCGGATTGTCTCAGTTAAGCTAGTATTGGAGTTAGTTAGTTGACTTGATGCAATAAACCAATCAGCCAATATTGTTCCAGAAGGATTGATTTTCCACATGACGTCATTTTTTGTCGCAGAAGACCTCTGCTCTCTCCTCCCTCTGTTCTCTCTTCTCCTTCTGCTCTCTCTTCTTTTTCTTCTTCTTCTTTCTTTTCACTTTGTTTTTAGACCTTGGCAAAGTCCTGGGATAGGTAAAAGGAGATTGAGAAACCAGATGAAATGTCAATCATCTCGTTTGACTTGGTGTTTGGGTGCAGGGTTGAACTAAGACAATGAAGCTGCTGGGATGTGATGCGTGATGTGCAATTTTCATCTAATTGCGACACTTTTGACCAACATTGTGATTGTGATTTCAAATATCCTATATTTTTTAAAAGTTTGTTCAGAGTAAACGTAACAACTTCAAGAGAGGCATTTTGAAAAAAAAGAACATCCATACATTATAAAGCAATTTCACACTTCCCACTAATTTAAAACTAAATCTAAAATTGAATGTTATTTTAAGATAATATTCTCAGAAAATTCATATAGTCTGACCTGAGTTGTGCAACATGTTGTGCAACACAGTTGAAGTTAGATGTCACTGGCAGAATAAAAAAAAAATACTTCTGCCTGACAAGGACATGTTCCAATGACAAATCTTAAAAATAAAGATTTATTTCCCAAACTCATGTAATTATTTTGATCTTCAAACCATTTTTTATTTGCAAAGAAGTGGTTCACTTCAAACAAAAGTGGTTGGAACATAGAACAGCAGTGGACATAATGATGAGTTATAGTCATTTGCCTTAGCTCTAATATTCACACTGGAATTTTATACTTTTTATTCCGCATCTCTTATTGCTGTGTGTCCTCACTTCATCGAGTTGGTATAACAGCCGCATTGCTTTCGCATGGATTTCTGGACTGATACATGACTGATCTGCGAGTCAACGTAAGCTTTGGCCGGGCTCCGATATGCGTTTGTGTACCGTGCATTATCTGGGCAGTAGGAGGCTAAAGCGTGTGCAGACAATAGCAGGCACCAGCTCATCACATTTCTTTGGCGTGTACACACAAGAGGGCCGTATGGAGATGAGCATAATGGGCCCAGTCAAGTGGCGTTTCATTCAGTTTTAAAAGCACAGAAAGGCACAGAATGTGACCCAGGAGCAGGCGTGATCAGAGGGCAGCCTAATACCTGTGTTCAACCAGGCTCAAACATGTTAGCTCAAACAGGGAGATAGAAAAGGTAAACAGACACATCTCATGTAAACATCACATGCCTTTGTTTTAGCATTCTAACTTAAAGCTTTTCTGAATAGCACCTATAGACCTCACCAAATTTCTGTCAAAAACAAGATTTTAAGCAAACACATAAGGAATGTCTTACATCTACTTATCAAGCTATATCTATTCAAACTATTGGAAATTTGCAGAAATAAATAATTAAAAGGTTTTTAATGTGTGAACGAAATAAGGTGAGGAATTCTTTAGGCCCTTCAGGTGCCTGAGGCTTTTCAGAAGTTTGATGTGAAACAGAGGGGTGGTGGAGCCAAAAAACGTCATTAGAAATAGAGGACTAGTAAACTCAATAATGGGAAAAAAGAAGAAATATGTGCAAAAAATGTAGGGAAAATGTTAAAACTGCAAGTCCCTTACAATATCATACATATACCTTTTCCCATGGTGTGATGAGATTTGATGAACATTACAAAAAGATTGTTTATGTTTTACCTAAGCTTAAGATGCGTCCCTGTGCCGAGGTCGGTCAGCAATTCACCCCATTTTATTCAGTTTAATGTGTTCAATTCAGTCTCTTTTTACATTGTTTAATAAGTTGTATAAAAAGATGTTGAATAAATGTTTCCACAGAGACGAATCGTCCTCGGCCACGTATTATTTCCGTGAGATGACGGAGGAGGAGAAGTCGAAGCCCCGCCTGCCCAAGAGCTGTGCGTCTGACCCGGATCATCTGCTGAAGCTGTGGATGTACTACAGAGCCCTGAAGCACGGAGAGAGCGAGTTCCCCCTCAGGAACAAGCAGGTACTGCGCCTAATGTGCACCTAATCTGCACCTAATCTGCACAATCGGCCATTTTTTATCAAGACATGGTTAAAGAGACGCCACTAGAGAAGAGCTCCATAGAGATGTGTTGTAACAGATTTGGCTGATTGTGTTAAAAGTTGATTTTTATATATTTCTCCCTCTGCTCTCTCTTCTCCTTCTGCTCTCTCTTCTCCCTCTGCTCTCTCTGCTCCCTCTTCTCCCTCTGCTCTCTCTGCTCCCTCTGCTCTCTCCTGCCTCTGTTCTCTCTTCTCCTTCTGCTCTCTCTTCTCCCTCTGCTCTCTCTGCTCCCTCTTCTCCCTCTGCTCTCTCTGCTCCCTCTGCTCTCTCCTGCCTCTGTTCTCTCTTCTCCTTCTGCTCTCTCTGCTCCCTCTGCTCTCTCTGCTCCCTCTGCTCTCTCTCCTCCCTCTGCTCCCTCTGCTCTCTCTGCACCCTCTGCTCTCTCTCCTCCCTCTGCTCTCTCTTCTCCCTCTGCTCTCTCCTCCCTCTGCTCTCTCTCCTCCCTCTGCTCTCTCTCCTCCCTCTGCTCTCTCTGCTCCCTCTGCTCTCTCTGCTCTCTCTCCTCCCTCTGCTCTCTCTTCTCCCTCTGCTCTCTCTCCTCCCTCTGCTCTCTCTGCTCCCTCTGCTCTCTATGCTCCCTCTCCTCCCTCTGCTCTCTCTGCTCTCTGCTCCCTCTGCTCTCTCTGCTAACACTGTATAGCGGTGTTTGTGTCCGTCACAGAGCAGAGATGTGTGTTTAACAGATTTCTCTCTTGCGGCTGCTGTGTGCTCTCTGATTTAAAAGTTGGTTAATTGCCTTGAAATGTTTATTTTACAACTATAATCCCGTCTTGAGCCTAAACGTTCAGTGTTGTTGCTGCAGGTGAAGCAGAGAGCCGACGAGTGCATTCTGGCTCTGGAGAGACTCGAAGAAATCAACTTAGGACGGCCGCTGCAGAACGTTCTGACCACACAATTCGACTGGACCACGCTGGAGGTAAGCGCAGCCACCGGGAGCTGCACAAACGCTGTGATGTCCCAGTGTTTTATGTTCGAGTTATTTACACACTCAAGGGCAGAGTTACTCATGTGTCCACGAGTCATTTATTTTACACCACTGTCAGTACAACACTCCTGTTTACGTTGTTTTATTCTGAATCTGTGTCATATGGATCATTCGGTAGAATTGGTGGCAGTATTTTTTTGTTCTAAAGACCTGATCTCACAGCCATAGTAATCACTTTGTTTCTCCTCTGTGAAAAAAAAAAGATCTCTTAATCAAAAAACAAACTTCCGCAATGCTCATTCTGTCGAATCATCACGTCCGTTACATAAAATAAACAGGGCCGCTATTGGAAACTTGACAAATGTATAAAACAGTTATACTCTTGCAAATTCTAATGGACAATGGAGGAGGTATTTGCATACATGACAAACAATACTATACAAAATACATTTTAGATCATGTATTTAGGATTCTGGAACGGAATACATTTTCAAAGTATTCTACCCAACATTGTCACAAATTCCAAAGTGAGAAAATGGCTGCTGCGTTCTGACCCAGTTGGAAGCATGAGAGGGATTCGGAGCCGAGACCAGAGAGGAGGGAGTGACAGTAATCTAGGCGAGAGAAGACGAAAGTCGATTTGAACCCGATAAACCCAGTGGAGACAAATCATTATTCCGATCATTATTCTGCAGTGAGTTGTAGATGTTTGAGATGTTTGAGTTTTTAATGGTGGGTCTCCTCTTGAACAGAACTCCATGGATCTCTGCAGGTTAGCAGTGATGGGACATTCGTTTGGAGGAGCCACAGCTATCGAGGCTTTGTGTAAAGAAGTCAAATTTAAGTATGTGCATTTACTTTACTAGTTGTGGGTTAGGGTTAGGTCACTCTGTCTGCGGCTGGATGAGGCAAACGTGTTTTATACCGTTGTGTGATTCCCTCGAGGTGCGGCATCGCGCTTGACTCCTGGATGTTCCCTTTAGACGAGGAGATCTTCCCGCGAGTGAAGCAGCCCATTTTCTTTATCAACTCGGAGCGGTTCCAGTGGGCGGGCAACATCAGCCGCATGAAGAAGCTGGACTCGGCGCTCATACAGAGGAAGATGATCACAATCCGGTACGGCGAGCTCTTTCACATCCCTCCTGTTCCTCTCCTGTTGTTTCCATGACTGTTGTTTGTGCCACAGAGGGACCGTTCACCAGAGCTTCCCTGACTTCACCTTCCTGACAGGAAACTGGATCGGGAAGTTGATGAAGTTAAAAGGAGAGATCGACCCTGAGCTCGCCATAGACTTGTGCAACAAAGCTTCGCTGGCGTTTTTGCAGAGGCATCTGGGTGAGTGAACAGTTCTAGTGAGTGGAAGTCACAAAAGCAATAGTACATACATGTGTAGACACATGCACTACTTTGAAAAAGCTATACAAAAGTGTATTTAACTGTGAGCAGGCTTGCATCACCACCAACTTGACTTGGCCTCCTCCTGTTTGTTTACATCCAATTTCTTTAATAAGAGGGCCAGACTTGTCCAGGGGCCGACAACATGGATTCTAAAGCTCTGTGACTGATCTGTCTATATTCATTTACCCCACAGTTACTGGTGTGCCCTCTATGGACTTGTTTGACTCAATCAAAAACAAATGACTGTATATACAAATAAAGTTAACAACTCGATTCCCAAGGTTGAGCGTTACAAAAATAATGCTCCATGAGTGTCATAATAACTGTATTACACAGGTAGGCTTACAGTATGTCTAAGCTAGAAAAGCATACGTAAAGCACAGACCTGCACCAAGAGGAAAACAATCCCGGAATCAACTACAAAATTTAATCCTTCCTGGTTCCATTTCTGAGATTTACCGTCGCAAGATTTTTGGTAAAATAATCATTGATATTGTTAGTAAAATATTAATTATTGTATGTATAACTGGCATGAATACATAAACATGAATACATAACCCCAGGTTAACGTAAAAACATCCTTTATTATTCAAACAGGCTGTGACAGGCAAAATACAACAAAGACCCTCATTCATCACTCTAGAAGGCATAGGGACAAAGTCTCTCTTCCAAGACTCTTTTTCAATCTTACGAATTTGTTTGTGGTGCTGGAAATATACATATATTTGTCCTGCTCGGTGGAACAACTTGTTATTTCAAATGTCAAACATATAGTATTGTGGCGGGTTCACTCACTCAGGTACTTGGTTTGGGGACGCCATTCTTGGTTGCACGTCCCAATGTCGTTCTCTCGTGAAAGGCCAGTCCTTCTTACTCACACTGAAGTTCATTAAAGTTATCAACATTAATAAACCATTAATAGACCATTCACCATCGCTCCAGTATTGTATTTCCATATAGAAGAATAACGGATTGACAAGCTTATGGATGTTTCAGGTATCGAGAAGAACTTCAACCAGTGGGACCCTCTCATCAATGGGGAGGATGAAAACCTGATCCAGGGCACTAACGTCACAGTTCTCCAATCGTCCATCTGAGCGGCCCCTGAGACCCTCCCCCCCTTGGTGCAGAATCTGAAAGCTCTACCTCAGCAGAAGACGTGTGTGGCTGTTTGTTTTGGGCCTGAAGCGGTCTGCTCCTACTGTGGCCACGAAATGATAGATATGACTTTATGTGGGACTGTTAATGAGACGGCTCTGGTCCAACGTGCTCCTTAGCCTCAAAGAATTATAAACATAATCTGGACATTATCAATTAAAACCCTCTTGGTGACATTTTAGGTAATACATTTCACGCAACATGAAGCAAGCAGCATTTTACCCACATTTCATTAGTTTAGTAAAAAGTGATACATTCAACTGCTTTTGATTGTTGTAAACATATTATGCATATTAACTGAGCTGTGGCATGCAAGTAATACTTTCCAACTATTAACTACTGTGTGTATATATTAAATTAGTTATGACTTCATATCATGTTTAGATTCACTTTTTCTTGGAAAGCATCTCAAAACCAGAGGGCAATTATAGCACTATAGGGGCTAAACAATTATGGAGAATACAAAGTGACCCTTTAACAGTCCCACTGGTCTCAGCTGTGTATATATATTTGTAAATCAATTATAATGCGAGTATGGCTGCAGTGTGACATGGCCTAGAACCGGTTTGGTAGATCTAGACACAGGAATGTCTTCAACAATGCAATAACAATCATGTGCCTTCACAGCAACACTTTTATACATCGATCGTTCAAACTATGTGAATAATAAACAGGTAATAAACTAGGTTTGTATTCAATCATTTGTTCAGTTTTCTCTTGTTGAAAAGAGAATATCAGGGAGGGACAGGTTTGGAAATATTTATTCTGCAAACATAAATTGTCCATTTGTTGCTCACACATAAGAACTGTCAGTTAGACAGACAGGGTAACAGAACTCCTAAAGTCAGGCAATCGTACTGATAAATACCAACTAAAGTTTCAGGAATCACATTTGAATATTTTCAGTTTCACAAATTCTTATAGATAACAGAACTGCCTCAAACCTGTAAGTCCACTGAACTTGAATTTTTAGAAATCTGAACATTCTGCAAACTGATAAATATAAAAACTAAAAAAACTAAAATAATAAGTTAAATGTTATGAGAAATTATTCTTTGTCCAGTTTCTCCTGCGCACAGCCATCCTCCAGAAGAGAGAGAGGAGTCACTTTAGACAGCAGAGACTCTGGGGAACAAGAAAACAATATAATGATTGAACAACGCATGCGCAATATTAAAGTCTCAACTCATAATTTAATTTAATCTTTGTAATAAATATGTCACAAAACTGGATGTTACTTTAAAGATTAGTACATAATATAGTAGTATTTAATATATATGTATAATCCCCCTTTTTCATAAAAAATACAGGCAAGGTAATCATGTTTGGGTGTAACTTTAAAAAAGGTCAGCACTGTGCCAGTTCACTCCTAATCCACACTACGGCGCATACACACCCAAACCGTCTTCAGCATAGGAGTCTTCTGTCAGAGTGTCGTCACTGGAGTCCTTCAGGGAAAAGCAGATGTTTTAATACAATATTAAGTATTAACACATTTCCAACCTCCTCTTACCTCCATTTGTGTCAGCAGGCACTCATCCAGAAAATCGCTGCTCTCACTTTCTGCAGACGCTTCTCCTGCAAAAGTTGCGTTGGAAATCAGGACTCACTGAACAAAAACTGTACAAAAGAAAATCACCTGGATACATAGACTTCCGTCTTTGGTGCGAGTCCTGTTGGACTGCTCATTTGTTTTTTACACTTTCCAAGTGACACTGACCTTGGGGCACTGTGGTTTGGAGAGATTGGTCCGAGTGTGTCAAAGGTTTCCGCACTGTTCATTTTTGCTGTCTTTGCATAAACACCCATGCACCCGCTGTAAAACTAGATATCTACACCCCCCAAAGTCGAAATCTGTGTTTGCCAGACTTAAGTACATTATAGAATTCATTTTCTAAAACATACCTGGGGTCAAGTCTGTGGAGGTAGCCTCTTCTACCAGACTGCTCACATGTTCTGTAAGCACAGCCTGAACAAGAGGATCATGATGTTACCAGTGTCAGAATGGACACCTCAAAGTAGACTAACAAATAGCATTAATTTATCTCCAATTAAATCATTCTAACATTTTCTTGATTTTGTTTTAATATGACTGAATGAAATGATATAGCATTATTTAACAAATTGAAAGGTTTCTCTATGCGTTCAATTTGTAAATTTAGAACTTCCAAAAGGAATGTGTCAAGTTGAAAATGCATGCGTCTGTATCAACACTTTCCACCACGTTGCTTGTGTTGTGCCCCCTAAAAACTGGTAAAAAAGAAAACCCAAACCAAGAAAGTAAAAGGCGAGGTCGTTGATCACCAAGAAAATTATAATAGTGGCTACTAATCAATAAAACAGTTTGTTCAATCAAACTTAAAAGGTCATGTATTCTTGATGATGGTGAACATTGTGTCTGATACGAGTCATTTTACCATATCTGGATAATCTGGAAAGTGGGACATGGGTGAATAAGAGCAGGACTCTGGCTCAGCCTCCATCTCTACGTCATCGAGCACTGCAGACACGGAAGTGACCAGCAGATAAGTCAAAGAAAAAGGCATTCACTTTGACATCCGAATAAAAGGAAGACTAACCAATCAGCTGCCCACAAGGAACCTCAACACTGGGAGCACACTTGTCCTAAAGCACAAAAATAAGTTGTAATGTGGTAGAGCGCTGGTGTAACACATGTTGAAGCAAGACTGATGCAATGTACCAGCGTTTCCTCTTCACTCCTCAGGTGATCACCGCTTTCATCAAACACATTTTCCCTTTCACCCTTTTCCTCTGAAAAAGTGACACGTTTCATCTCCAAAACCTCAAGTATCATCTCTTAACCTCAAGCATATCCCACATTACCTGCGCAAAGGTCTAAGAGAGACACCTCAGTGACACAATCGCCCTCCTCACCTGCGTCCCCCTAAAGTCACCAAGGCACAGAAATAATAATAAAGTTATTCTATACATACTACACAGCTCATGAAGCCAGAACAATCTCATTTGCACAGACAAAAGAATGATTACAAAATTACACTCAAAATTATTTCACCAAACCTTACCATGGAGATTGCAGTGCATATTTCAGAGTCAATAGTCCCTCCATCACTCAGTAAATCTGCAGACATTATATTAGTTTTTTTTTTTGACATATTGATGTATGTCATAGAAAAGAAAAGAAAGAAGATCCATTCTAAATTACCCGGAGAGTCAGCCGCCTGCTCCGATACCAGCTCATCCTATATTTAACAGAGAAATCAGTGAGCAACGTGTTACTGCTTAAAAATTGACAATAATTAACCCTCATCTTTACATTGGGCATCTCTTCTTTCTTGCTGCTTTCAGACAAAATGTCTTCTGCCTTCAAGTCAAGCATATGATCTGTCAAGAGAAATACAAAATAAAATAAGTGAAACAGTTGTTACATTAAGGTGGTGCCAAGAAGAGATATTTAGATAAAGAATATGTATTATTGCCGATTGTTCTGGGCCAAAAAGAACTCACCGGTTGAGTCCTGGGGAAAAGAGCCACTTTTTGGCAGGAGCAAGTCCTGATTCTGAAAAAATTGGGAACAAATGGTAAAAAATTCATGCCGGATTACAAAGATTCAAACAAATTTTTTGCAAGCCTTGAGAATCGCACTTTACCATGGATTCTGATGCAGTGTGAGGATCCATTTCTGAAAGGGTTACATCTAGCGTCCACTTATCCATGTCTGAATCTGGAAAAATAATATAAGTATATTAGAAGAAAGATCTGACTTCCAGTATTTTATGATATGCACATATTTACCAAACGAGTCATCCGGCAAAGCAACACTCAAGTACAGAAAACGCTCATCTTCAGACTGCAATCATATGTAAAATCAATATTTAACATTTCCTTGAAACATTTCAAGATATCTTTAGCCCTATTCGCACAGGATTAGTATTACCTGTAATTTCCAAATGACTGTCCCACCTCTGTGATTCTTTCAATGCACACAGGATAAGCAATGTCTGTAAATTACTATATTTTCACTGTCATCCCATAATGGCCGCACAAGGGAAACATGTTTGTGTTCAGCTTCCCACACACATCACATGTATTTAAACATTAGGAGGACTGGCAGACATGGATTCTGTACATGGCTTTTTTCTCGCGTCTGACCGCACCAGCCACAGAAACCATTAGGACAAACACATGTGGATTTTACTGCTCTACAGTTCTCTGGCCCGTGCTTTCCTCTACACTTCTCCATAGACCTCAGACGGACAGCTGCAGCGGTGTCTCTGCTGCTATGCACACATGCCGCAATACAAGAGTCTTTTCTGCTCAAGAGAGATGCTCGTCGTTAAGATGTGTATGAGCCGTATTATAGTTTGCTGTGAAAAAGCTTCAAAACTGAATTATCATGTCTATCACAACTTCTATGGTTTGAGCCATAAAGAGATATGAAAAGGCGCAATTTATTGACAACGCAGAAAGTAGCGAAAGTAGTAGACAATAGCAATAACAATCACTGACATACAGATTTGCACGGGATTAGCATTATCACTGGACGCTCGTGTTTGGCCAAATACAGGAGGTAATGTGAGTTTAATCACATAACAAATTACAGACATGGGGCATTCTCACAGGACCAAGATCTCAGGGCTCCTCCGTGATTATCACAAATTACCAGAGGTCCACAGGTCATACTAATCCCGTGCGAATAGGGCTTTTGTCAAACAACTTTAGGATTTTGACCGATTACCATTTGATCTGGGGTCAAACTGGCAGAGGTTTCTTCGGGAGGAAGTACATCGGCCACATCTTCATTCTGAAAAGCATGTTCACATAAAATTAAGTTGACACATGTATTCTGTGGCCATAACACCAACCGATTCCAAAGACGTCACACTGGCATGTGATTCAGAGAAAGCCGCCTCTGATGCTATGACGTCTTGGCCCAAATCTGAAAGAAAATTCTGAGTCAATCTCAGGCCACAAAAGTGCTCCATCACATTCAGTCATATTCTTGTATCATCATGATGGACAAGTTCATACCAAATGAATCTTCTGCCAAAACACCACTTAAAGATAGGCAAACATCTTCCTGTAAATCAAAATTTTAAATTCAATTCAGAGTTGTGCTGTTTTCAGCATGTGCATAAAGAGTTATTATTTTGATTTTCTATACCATTAGGTCTGGCATGACTGTCATTTCAGGAACTGAAGACTCTGGAGTCTCAATGACCTGATCTGAAAGTGTTTTTAAAAAAAGATTAACTTTGACCGTGTATTTCTCCAGACAAATCTTTTTACAGTTAAGTAAGACAAAACAAAACTCACTGAATGAATCCGGAGAAGGAACAACAATGGAAGCAATCCCCTTTTGGCTCTAAACATATACAAGTAAATTCACAGATTAATAATAGTTATTTTAAGTCCATTTTGTACTGTACATTTATCTTTTACCTGTTGGGATTCTTCAGAGCTCTCCAGCTCAATGTCAATGTTGCTTGTTAGACTGAAAGGTGAACGGGGAACCTTAAGAGAAAAGGTTTGGAAATAGTATAATATGAGTCTATAATTCTATCTCTATATATAAAATTCTATCTCATATGAGAGAGAGAGAGTAATCTTTACCATTTGAACTGTTGTGACTTTGGCAGAACATGGAGATTCAGGAACAATCATCTCGGAATCATCTGAAACATATTCACATTACAATCAATAATGTTTTTTTCATTTAATTTCAGGTTAAAACACTCACCAAATGAATCTGGTGTCAAAACAGAACTTGAGCGTGCCAAAAATGAATCTTCATTCTGCAAGTCAAAGTCACTAAATTAAAACCTGTTTCATTGGAATTATATTTTACAGTTTATCCTCTGTACCTGCAGTGCCTCCGGAGGTGGATCATCCAAAGTATCTTGCTCTTTATTCTTGCCCGTCAGATTGGTAGATAAGCAAAGAACCTGAAGCCCCAAATATTTAAATTCTATAAGTCAAGATTGGCTGATCATCATTGTGATAAATAATTCAAAAGGTATTTAAAATTATATGGTTTTATACCAATCTGGCTGCTCTCCTCACAACCGGGCTACAAGCTTCCAAAACCAACTCTTCTGGCGTTTCAGGATACTGGATTTGATCTACAAATAAAATAAAAAATAAAAGTAGTGTCAAGAATAAAATTCAAAATGTTGAAACTAAAATCATGTCTACACACATTCTGCTCACCATAATATTTGCAGGCATCTGGATCATCTCCTTTAGATGGAGACTTGCTCGGCGTTTCTGTGAAGCCCAACTCATCCATAGCTTCCAGGAAGCATTTGTCCAGAGGGGAACTCATATCTTCAGACCCTGTGGGGTCCAATACTGACAAATCCTGATCTTCCAGGTCTTGATCCATCAGTCTTGCCTCATAACTTGAACTCAAATCTTCACTTTCATCGTCAGTGCAATAGAACACTGTATCATTGTCATCTGGCGTTAAACTACATGAGGGGGCATCACAGAGTTCAGTTGTAATGGCTGAGATGTTAACTTCAAGGTTTTCAAGGATCTGAGAGCCAGAAGAAGTGCTACACATCTGGTCTTCAAATTCCATAACAAAGGATGCACTGCAGTTTTTAACATCATCAGTCAATATCGGATCATCATCTTTATCAGCCAAGAACTCACATGTCTCCTTAAAGTCCGGAGTGCCACTTTTTAAAGGGCCTTCTGTCAACAACACTATTTCACTCACATCATCTTCCACAATAAGAGGAAGCTTACAAGATGCCTCTTCCATTGGCCCTTCAGTTGTGACAGTCTCTGCTTCAGTTGAAGGTTCAATTTCATCTAAAGTTTGGGTTTCCTTTAAGTCTTCTGACTCTGTGTTCTTCCAAAACTTTCTCATGGACTCATTAATTACTTGACCTTCACGTTCTATACGGACATAACATTTGATTTTACCATCTTCCATAATCACTTTGGTCACAGTCAGCTGGAGAAGTTGGTCTGCAGTAAGTTCAGACAACTCATCTACAGCACTAGGTTCCCAGGATCCTTTAGAGGTATCAAACCCTTCAAGTACACATAAGAATGCTTGCACTTGGTTTTGGATGAGTTGAGCAGGTATTTGTCTCACTTGACTAAGCTTGACTTGAGAGGTGTTTCCATAATCAACAAACAAGACTGATAATTCATCTCCATTTATGTTCAAGATTTCTGCACGATACCAAAGTTGATCTTCAGAAAATAGAGCGATGCAAGCGCTGCCCACCGAAAGTGCGTCAGGATTACTGGGACTTGCAGCATCTCCTACTTTGGCAACACTTTCAGATATCTGGTCAAGCTCTTCTGAGTCCACAGATTGGCACCAGAATGTCTGAGCATCAGCTATAGTGGTGATGTAAACGTCGAGCTGTTGATCTTCTTTGAATTGTTGCTGCGTAAATTGTAAATGACCGGCCTCTGTGCCAGTTTGTTTATTGACTCTAGTTGGATTGCAATCAATTTCAACACCGTTGTCCTGAAGATTTACTTCCCACACATTTTCAGATTGCTTGATAAACTTGCATTGGAATCTTTTTTCCCCAACATTACCAATAGCGTTTTCAAAAGTGGACACAAATTCTGGGCTTAAGACATTTCCTTTTTCAAGACCAGCTGCACTTTGAAGCAAACAATGAGTGCTATACACAGGGAATGCCAGAAAGGATTTGTCAAGTCTGCTTATTTTTGATAGGGGAACGGTTTCAGTATTTCCAAAGTCAACAAACTCAACGATAACCGTTTTAGCTTGTGTTTCTTTCACAACTGCTCGGTACCACGACGAATCATCTGAGAACTCTGCCTGAACAAGGTCCCCTGGATGGACTTCTGCGATAGAGTTTGAAGACTTGTTTGGATCATTGAGCTTTTCTACAATCGAAAAAATGTCATCCTCCTCTTTAATTAACTGCACATAGAAACTCAGAGGACTGTTGCAATGAGAGACGTACACATCTGCAACCATGCCGCTTGTGATTGTTTTGGGTGGCAGGTCAGCAAGTGTTTCTAGTTTAAGAATGTTTGAGTCAATCAAACTTTCTTTGGTAGAACTTTGACATGTGGGGCGTTGCTTGGTTTCATGGTCATTAAGCTTTGTCTGACTCAGGGGAGTTTTGTCTTTTTGCTTGGGATGTTCTGTATATTTTGGTGCCCCATAAGACTTGGAATGGTTTGTGTCAGAACGTGTTGGTGTGCCATTTTGCTTGGCATTAGCTGGCTCTTTACAGTTTGGTGCCTCATCTTTTAGATGTGGATGTCTGTATAGCTGCTGATTAGCTTTGGTATTTTGCCGAGGCTTTGTTGTAGGTCGTTCCTTTTTCCCTACACAATCGGCATAAGGTTTTGTTTGTGGTTTGCGATCAAATGAATGATCCAACCCATTTTTTGATTCTTCCATTCCTTCCATTTTGTGGGTAGGCTTCACCGTAGGCTCAATAAACTTTCTCTCATGACAGACTGGTGGGTCATTTGTGTGCATCTCAATCTCAAACAATTTCTTGATTTTAGCGTTAACTTGAATTCTACCCTGATACAGCTCAACTACTAACTTCCCATCAGCTTCTTTGGCAACAATGAGAGCTCTGAATTCACACTCAGTGGAGCTGGTCACAAACCAGCTGTTGGCTTCTCGAGTAATATCATCAGGGATGTCTGACAAACAGCATAATACAGCTTGAACAGGCACAGACATAATATCCGAGGCTTCTTTGGGGATTGGAAGCAGGTCAGCTTGGTCAACCTCAATAGTATCACCATAATCCACAAAGTGCACAATTATGGTCGGTTTTGTGGCTTTGATCAGCCCTCTGTACCATTGTCCATCTGTGTATTTGGCAAAACACAAAGTTCCAAACACAGACGGAATCTTTACCCTCTGAAGTTGCTCACACAGCGTGGCAACTTTAAGCTGCATATCTTCAAGTACATCTGCATTGCGTTTCAGCTGACAGTAGAAATGTCTGACATTTTTCACACTTGTGATTGTTACATGCTCCTCCGTCCCCGTTTTCACATTGTGGTTGGAATAGTAGTAAGTGTCAAGACGAAATGTTGTGCCAGAATGGATTATAGGAGGATCATTTTTGACCAAATTAACCAGACTGGTACAGATGCTCTCAAAGGGAGTCTCCAGATTCACAATGTTGAACACAATCTTGTTACTGTACATGACCGCATAAACTGTACACTTCAAAATGACAAAGCTGTTTGCAGCAGTTTCCACAAAATTATGGAACCTTTCTACAGCTTCTTCTGTCCAGTCATTGATGGCTGAAGTTGGGTCAACAAGATTAAAGAGGCTGCATCGAAATGCCTGACCTGGAAGTGTCAAAAACCCCTTTTCTATTTTTCTCAAGTCAAAGATGTTAACTGTCTCTGTTTGTCCATAGTCTATGAACAAGACATCAACATGAGGGGTTTCGTGTTTATAAACAATAAGAGCTCGGTACCACAAGCCGTTTTCTGGGTGACGGGCAACACAGGCCATTTCTGCAAAAGGCTGGAACTCACTATTTCTGTATTGAGCCTGCAGGTCATACATCAGCAGTTTCAAGTGTCCATAGCTTTGCACCAACTGACACCAGAAGTCATTTGGGCTTTCAATGTACGACACATTCACATCAAGAACACTTCCAATGGAAAACATCTGCTCCTTGAAAGTCACCCTTTCATTTCCAACTGAGACAGTGTTATGGGGCTGAACATTTCCAATGCAATGTGCCATAGGAATAGGAGCAATGTGCATGCTGGTTTTAACTTTTGTGTCCCTTCTTTTTTCATCTTTTTCTGCAAAACCACTTGCATACATGAGTTTAGCCGCATCTTTTTCTCCTTGTGCTTCTGGGTCAGTCAGTTCAACAAAATGGCAGTCATCAATCTTTGTTACTACATGTACATTAAGACTTTTATCCATTACTGTTTTAGTGAAAAACTCACATGCCTCTGGACTCCATTCTCCAGCTTTTGGTCTCACATTAGCGAGGGTGCATTTGATCCCCAGAAATGGTAACTTTTTGAACTCCTCAGGAATAGTTCTGATCGAGTCATTTTCTACTGCCTCACTGTTTCCATAATCCACAAAGTGCACTTTCACTTTTGATTTTCCAACCTCTGTAATAATGGCTCTGTAGTACTCGCCATCTTCAGCCTTAGCTGCACAATAGAGGCCAACAGATGGAATTTTTACCACATCATTTGAAACTGTTTGGTAAAAATGGGCCATTTTTTCCATCAATGCTTCCAACTCTTTTGCATAGTTTTGCGTCTGTATCCAAAAATCTGATGGATTTGAGACAAATTGTACAAACGCAACATGAGTAGACTTCATAGGAAGATCTTCCACTGGCTCGGAATGCAACTGCTTTTTGCTTGCTTGTGTTTCCCCCGTTTTCAATGCAGTTGTTTTGTTACGACCGCTTCCACTTGCTCGTATGGCATAGTCACCCAAGGTTTTCTCACATTGCAGCAAGCAACTAACTTTGGAACCAAACAAGTTATTAATGTTTGAGTTTTCATCCCCATAGAGCGTCACATAGTACACACCTTCTGTAATGCTCTGGTACTCAAACTTGGCAATGGTTGTCTTATGCAGAAGAAGTGTCCTGAGATAGTCAATTTGAGCAGTGGTCCATCCAACACCTTTGTCTATGATTCCATGAAGCGAACAGTTGTATGTCACAACTGGCATCCTATAGAATTCTGCGGCCAGTGATCTCACATTGTCCATTTGGACAATTTGTTTAGTCCCATAGTCTACATTCAAGACTTCCACAAGCTTGTTTGATGGGAACACTTGCTGAAGAACAGAGCGGTACCACTTCCCATCCGACCCTCGTGCAGCACAGGGAAAACCAATCATTTCAGGCTCTATACGTGAAGCAGTTCTGCCATCACAGCACTGTGAGAGTTGTTCGGACATTTTTTTTAACTCTTGTGAAAATACTTTCAACTGGCAGAAGATTCGTTGTGGATTTGTGACGTCTGTGACCACAACAGTCTCCACAGTGCCAGCTTGTAGTTCCGGGAACATGAACGACTCTTTCATTTTCAGTCTTTCAACTGGTGTCCATGTTTTGACTGCCTGAGGTTCTTTCATTTGTGTGGGGTCACTTTTAGACTGCAGAGACGTAAGCAAAAAATCTTTAAACATTTGTGCAGACAGCCTTCTTGCAAATCCCATCTCATACATTTGTTTTTCTACGCAAGGGATGTGCAAAACAAACAGTCGATGCTGCATCAAAATGTCTTGCAGAAAGACTTTTACTGTTCTTCCACTGAGAGACTTAAGAAACTTCAGAGCCAATGGAGACCATCGGTCAAGCGGTGACACTGGTAAGATGTTAGCTAACACACAAAATTCCACTTCAGGCAGCAAGTAAAAGTACTCTCCTCTACCCCAAGCAAGCATTGATGTGATAGTGCTGTGTGAGATTCCTTTGTCGATGAGAAAAACGTTGTATTCTGATCCATTTCGTGACACGATGCAAGCCCTGTACCAGATACCCTCTTTCTGAACCAAGCATTGATCTCCAGGATTGCCATCAAATTCTTTGAAAAGATTTCCAGGAGACTGAATGCTTTTGGCCAGTCTCTCATATTCTGCATCACTCTCCTGATTAAATTTAGCCCAGAACTCAACAAGCTCACATAGAGGGTGTATGTGGACCCTGGTTATTAAAATGGATGCCTCAGATCCTGGTGCAGGGAGACCCTGAATTGAAGACATGTTCGCAGTTTCACAAGTCCCTGCATTACATGAGCCGTCACCTCTCATCAATGAGCAACAGTTGTTACCTGGAAAATATATTAGAGCATTGAATTTAACGAATCAACGACATTCCTGTTACATTAGTAAAAGTTATTTTCTTTTCCACCATATGCAAACATTGTATACTCACTGGAATTAACTGTTCGTTATGATTTGATTCTTTGTCTTCAAAATGTAGAGAAATGTGATGGAATATTCTGAACGAAGGACAAAAAAAATCATGTAAAACAAACATTTCTCCATGATGAAATAAATTAACTTTATCTTAAAACCAAACTTCATAAAGATAATGGCTTTTTGAAAGCAGTCATTGTGAGGTCAATAATGACAAGAAGTTCATGTTTATAAAATGGGTTTCTGAAACTTAATGATGAACAAAATACGTCACTGAATTGTATTTTCTGTGCAATATTTGAGAATGTATCTGTAAAAGGATTGTATAGTGCTCTGGACTCAGCTCCTGTAAGCCATTATGCAGCTTATCATAGCGCAGAAACTGTTTTATTCACACAACACATTTCAATTTCAATAGTAGTCTATTGCGCAAACACAGCAAAGGGAGATAATATAAGCTCCAAATCGTGAATTTAATTTTTTTGTTAAATTGCCGTCACAATATTTATTTAGAAACCAGGCACGGGGAAGAACAAGAGATTTAACGCTAGATCCTAGTATTCCCGTTAATTGATACAGAAGGTTTACTGCCTCGCCATCCTTTGGTAGCGTTAGTTAAACACATCGGTGTTTACAGTGTCTAATTGCAGTTTGACAATGAGCAGCAGTTACGTTTGTGTGACTAATCAAAACAGCATGTGACAAGCAAAAATAAGTCTCGACGATTAACAGCATAGATTATGAGGATTATGTTTCTTGTGTAATGTCGTGAAATGTATGAGTAACCCTGGCCTGATTATGAAACTCACCTGTATCAAAAGCTGTCTCCAACGAGTCGGCCACAACCAGGCGTTACCCAGCTAGTGCTAGCGCTAGCGTTAGCATAAAAACGCGGACTTGAGCCCTGCCAAAAGTCCAAACGATATCTGTAAGATATTACTCAAAAACAACCGAAGTGCTCGAGGTATCACTGACAGATCTGTGTAAATGAAAGGTTTTGACGCAACTACAAGCGGGTATTAAACACTCCACAGCAAACAGATGAAATGTTAGTAACGGTTAGTGCAGGCTGCGCCAGGTCAAAGCCACGAGAGCTCGAGTTGTGGTCGCATTAAAAAAAACTATGAACGTGACCGGAAGTATGTATTTTTTTTCCTAACACATAGATAATAAAATAACAAAAACAACACAAATATAAACATACTGTGTGGGAACAACCGAACACATGTACTGGTAATATTTCTCAGAATGGTATTCTTGAGTAAGTGTATTTTGATTGTATTTTGGTGGAATTCAGAAAGAATATACTCACTTTACAAAGATATAAGGAATATAGATCAGAGATTCAGATTCATTTATTTGCCATTTGCAGTAAAACCACATTGGACTACATTTGCAAAAGTCCCCAGTGTACACAAGACAAGTACATAAATACAAAACTCTTACTTCAGCGCCATCTAGACGCTGAAGTAAGTTTTTGGTCTCAAAAATCACTGTTGGTGGCAGAGCATTTAGCTACCAAGCTCCTTTACTGTGGAATCAGCTTCCCATTTATGTTAAGGAAGCAGATACGGTCTCCACATTCAAGGCCAGGCTTAAAGCACTTTACTTTAATTTAGCATATAATTAGGTAATATATAATATATGGTGTATATATTATATATGTATGCTGTATTATGTTATATATTATACAATAATGTATTGTGTTATGTTGTATATTATGTTATATATTATGCTGTATGTTATGTTGTGTATTATTTATGATATATATGGTATGTATGGTATATATGATGTATATGATATATAATATATAATTAGGTTTGCTTGGCTCGGTTTGCACACCTGGTGTGCAATCCATGAATCTCTTTATTCAAGGCTAGGTTTAAAACAGTCCTCTTTAGTTTAGTATATGGCTAGGAAGGTAAGACTCTGGGAAGGCTAAACTCCTCAGAGTGTTAGTCAAGCTGCATAGGGAGTCAGTTTGCTGGGAGAAGTATGGTAACTTGAGCACTATCCTCTCCTCCTTCCTACTTTATCTACTTTATCTGTTTAGCACTTTTAGGATTCTGACTGTAGTTTGTTCATTGCTATTCACCCGTTGTCCCATTGTCTGTTTCATGGTACGATGACGGGATCTCTGAGCCTGGCCTCCTCCATCTGCACCTGCGGACTGCCCCGCCCGACCCGCCTGGGAGTGCTTCGGCCCTGCACCGGACCTGTCCACGTTCAGCGTCCACTGGTCCACGTCCTGTAGCTAGCTTAGGTCCTAGATCATTAGCCTGTCCGTCCGGAGGAGCGGATCCCTTTCTCATATGGGTCTCCCTCCCTGTGGGTTTCCCTAGTTCTCCTCCAAGGTTTCTCACTTTTTCCCACTGGGTTTTTTTAAGAGTTTTTCCTTGTCGATGCAGGAGGGTCTTGTTGGACAGTTAGTGTCCAACAGAAAGGATTGGTGATGATCAGGACACTTTAGCATTCTACAACATGTATGGACATTTTCTTCTGTGTGTGCTTTATATTCTCCATGTGTTTTAACTGTTGATTCTCTGACCTGTGTTGGTGATTTCAATGGTTTTGTTAAGTCCTCTGAGATGACTTCTGTTGTGACCTAGGGCTATACAAGAATAAATTGTATTGTATTGTATTGTGTAGACATCTACAACAGCTGTTGTATTTGATCTTGCAATTGTATGGATGGCTACAGCCATAATTACTTAATGTACACTAACGTTCTTTAGCCATTGCTGTATTGTTATACTATAATATTATTCAAAAGAGGGAAAGTTGTCTATGGTGATTCAATCAATTCGGGTGATTCAATCATGCAATAACATTTTGCAAAATATATAGTTTGCAGATATTAAGTATTCTCTAACTGATTACATTATCACTGCAATTTGACACTAGATCTTACATGTAGATAACTTTTTGTTCACATATTTGTAATCTCATTAACTGTAAAATCTGAAACCAGGAAAATATCTATTGATAATAATAATAATAATAATACATTGGTTTTATAAAGCGCTTTTTTGGATACTCAAAGACGCTTCACATGTCATTTTTCATTCACTCCAAACACGGTGGTGATAAACTGCTACTATAGCCACAGCTGACCTGGGGCATACTGACAGAAGCGAGGTAACCAGTATGTGCCATCAGCCCCTCCGACCACCCCCAACCATTCACACATACACTAGATTCAGAAGTGTCTTCCCCCCTCATTCGGTAGCTGTTCATCAACTTCACACACAGTGGCGCTGTTGGTCTAGATTAATTCAGCCGGAAGTCACCAGGCGGAAATCGGCGGAAATGCGTCATTGCTTTGCTGCGTTGCCATTTTGTCATCCGAGGAATCGGCTAAAGCTGCAGCTAACGTTCGCATTTCTGTATTTTTCTTGTCAGGACATTTTTTTCTCATAACATTACTCACCATGGCTATGCAAGCAGCGAAACGCGCCAATGTAAGTCACAGAGTTCAATTGTATTATGTGATTTATATCTGGGTTGGGACATTGTTATTAAAAAGATCACAATAACCTGAACAGTCTATGCTATGTTATTAGCATGCAGTTAGCACTGGAAAGGAAACCTTAAGTGTTGAGTTATGTGTTGCATATATGTCTATATTTATTGAAATTTTGTCCATTTACTAATGCCCTGATGGATCCATTATTTAATTTATTTACCTTTACGTGTATTTCCAGATCCGACTACCCCCTGAGGTGAACAGGGTTCTCTACATAAGGAACCTTCCTTATAAAATCACAGCCGAAGAAATGTACGATATATTTGGAAAATATGGACCAATCAGACAAATCAGAACGTGAGTATCTCGTAAAATATAGGTACTCATAATAACGAGCAGATGTGTTGTTAAACATGAGAACAGTGGTCTACTCTCCGACTTAAAGAGTTCTTTTCAAATGTGTGACAGAATTATTCATATTTACAAGTTATAACTGAAATTGTATTCTTTTGCCTTTTGTAGAGGAAACACACCTGAAAGCAGAGGAACTGCATATGTGGTTTATGAAGACATCTTCGATGCCAAGAACGCCTGTGATCATCTCTCAGGCTTCAATGTCTGTAACAGATACCTAGTTGTGCTGTACTACAACGCAAACAGAGTAAGAATTTGGTTTATGTGTATTTTTGTTGTTGTATCTGCTTCAAAATTACAGTAAAATATATAACAATGTATCTTTACAGGCTTTCCAGAAGATGGACACAAAAAAGAAAGAGGAGCAGTTGAAGCTACTAAAAGAAAAATATGGAATCAACACAGACCCACCAAAATAGATTTATGCCTAATTCTTTTTGACATTATTTTTAATTGTTTCAAGCTAACTTGTTCATGACCGTAAAATACAGATTATTTTTGTCTTTCAGGGTCAATGTCTTTGTTTTTGAAAAGCTTTGTGTCCAATGGTATTGCATTTTACATCAAACAAAAATCATTGTCATCACTCTTGTGTTCAAGTAAATATGATTTTCAAAATAACCTTTGTTGTTATTAATGTTTGGTTTGTATTTTCAGTACATGTTCTCAGCTCTCTATCAACTGTTTTGTTGGAGTGATAGATGTTGTCTTACACCATTTGAGAAATTATGAGAAAGAAAAAGTTTTGTTCAGAGACTAAATTGATTTCTCAGTTTTTTAAGTGGCAATTTGTGTCTCCTTTCAATTTAAATATCTAAATTACCAAGGGCATGTAAAAGCAGCTTTAGAAAAAACAGCCAAACAGCTTAAAAATCTCTGATCATGGGAGTTTAACGAGCTCATTTTATTTTCTGTTGTGCAACAGGGATCTCTAGTGGCACAAAGAAGGCAGGGCAGAAATGTCAGCTGAGCCTGACATGCACATACACAGCAGGGTAGCTTCAGTCACTGAATCTTAAAAGTTGTATACAAATTGGTGAGTCTTTAAAAGTTTATAGAAATGTACACATTGGAGACAGTGGCATTATTCGTATCCCGTTAAAGATCAAATTAAAACAATGCGTCCTGCCAGTTACCTCAAGTTAACTAAAGTCTATTTGATAGAAAATTGATTGACAAAACTGGGAACCATGTATTTCTTCCGTCTTGGAACATATTTTTCCATTTCAGTACATTTACAGAGAAAGGGAAAGAGTTGATAACCTACTCCCAAGGTTCCATGGAAAATGAAAGTCCATTTCATAGGTCATGGAATAGTTATGTAATTTCAATGAGGTGTCAAATTTCCCATTTGGTGATAGTGACATAAAAAAACAGTATTTCAAATTTCAAAGTAATTCAAGATCTTTTAACTACTTTGGCTTGAAGATTTAAAAAAAAAATTGACAAAGAGATATACAATTTTCACACAACATTTGACATTAACAAAAGACACACCCAGGTCCATAGAGTTCCTTTTTAATAGTTTAAATCACAACACAGGGAGTAGTGCAGCCATGTCTTCAGGGACACAATACATGCTACAAAAGAATCCTCGAACACGGTTGCTTATGCTTACATTTGGTACCTTGATCATAATAATAGCAATATTAATAATAATTAGAGTAAATAGAAACATTTTCAAATATGGTTATGTAAAGAAGCTCAGGGAGAGGATAGGATGGCATATTTATTGCAATATTAATAATTTTGTCAACACTACAGCTGCTTCAACTCTTGAAACATGCGAGGTGTTTAGAAATACCACAAACGACTACGCTCCACTGAACTTCTCTACATATTAACGTGTAATGAGGCGCAGGAGTAAAAAAGTACAAAAATGCGGATTGAAAGACGGGGAGGTTGGTTGGGTGGCTGAGCTGTCCAACCTGCTAAATCGCATCTTGACTTAAATAAGCTTTCTGGCACTTTCACTGAAACAACACAAAAGATTGAATGCAAATGCTGCCCTCCCATTCCGGCGACGCGATGGTCAACTCTGATATGCAACCTGCAAGTTCACAAAAGGAGATGTGTGATGACAAAACTACAACTCAGTGGTGTGAATAGGTCTGCCCTAGGTCAAGTCTCAATAGCAATATAAGTCAAAAATCAATCGTTCGACGGGAGATTCTTCAGCAGAACAAAAATATAAGCGAGCAATAAAACACCAAGATAATAGGTATAGTACATTGTCTAGCATTAGCGTGAAACTAGAACAAATAATATTTGTAAAGATATTTGTAAAGTAAACCAATTGTGAAATAAAAAAGTGCAAAGACAGGTTAGCTTTAAACGCCATAACATATATATATTTTTAAAAATGGTCAAAACAATATTAACTGCAAAAATGTGAAACAAAACAATCATGTCAAATTTTCAAACAACATTTCAATATTTTCTGCTGTGTCTTTTAGCAGGGCCACCATACCGGTTCTTGAACATTACAAAGCTTACACAGCTAGAATATACTGTAGTAGTCCCTATACTTTTCATCACTTTCCTCCAGCGTCTTATTGAAAAAGTGTTTCATTGTAGCTCTTTTTAGGTTACTCCACATTCTTCATATTTGAAAAGAGATACTAGTAGTGTGCATAAATGGGGCAGATTGTTTTTTTAAAGATACCACGGTTTATATACGAGGAAACATGCTTCGACAGTTAAAGCAGTCAAAAAACGAAGTCTGGACAAGTACGTTACATCCCAATAGACAATACGTGATGGATTTCTCGCTGCGCCGCGTTGATAAGGCTTTTTGTCTAGGAGATCTTACAGGATGCAACAACAAGGAGGTTTTTTAAGGCAGAACCTATAGGCATGCAAATTGACTACGAATACATTTCTTATACGAACGGTACAAGCATGTTTCAGATTCCTGTTTGATCTAGAGCTAATATTTGACACAATAGTTTTCAGTCGGAGGCAGATACATTATTAATCATCATTATTATTAATATTGTTAGGTATAAGAATTTGGTTTGGTTGCCTATGAAACACGCAGCTAGGATTGGTAAACTCGCAACGGTAAACAGCAGTGATTTAAACGTTGCGCAAGCTCTGGTAGAATGTAATGGAAAATACTTTGCACACTTCACATTTTGGCAGTTACTCTTTAAATAATTTAAATATATATATACTCATATTTATAGATCTATATATATATATATTATTGTGCAAGGTGTGTCCTGTTGTTGTGGTCTGTGTGTGGTCTGCACGCGCACACTGAGTTTATGTTGTGTATTGGAGATCTTTTTAGAGCATAAACATTCTCATGCACACGAGTGTTTCAACACAAGAAGCAGATCTGTTGAAAGGTAGTCCAAGCATATTTTTTTCTGTGGAAATAGCTGCAGACTGGATGGAGATGGTTTGTCAGTGCAGTCCATGGGGGCAGGTGCGGCCCTTATTTCTGGAGGTCACACTGCAGCAGTAGTACGATGGAGGGGTCGCTCTTGGCCGCCTCCTTGAACTCGTCCAGTGAGATCTGGTCGTCGTTGTTCTTGTCCATCTTGGAGAAGATCTTGTCCACTCTCTGCTGAGGCGTCAGACCGTCCTCGTTCATCTTCATCATGATCACGGTGCCCACCATCTTGTAGATCGCCTGCAGGGGAACAATAACTGCCGGTAAAACGGGCATGTCCAAGAGACCCCAAGAATGTACCAAAAACCATGCAAAGTCTCACATTGTACTTTGCCTAACCAGAGTTTGAGTTTGCCATTTCGGTCTTGGTGTAAGTTCTGTAAATTATGTTCTATCTATCAAATACATTCTAAAGAAAAAAAGCCCTGGCTCGCTAAACTTCAGGCTTTCGCATGTAGTTGGAATAAAATCACAATTATATGTTTTGCCAAAATCACAGACAATTCTCAGGCTTTATGCATTAATACTCAAAGAATCTCATTTTCCCTGTGTTGCATTCATTTGAAGTATTTTCTGTAAAGACACCAATAGCTCACTTTTTCCCTCCCTTCACTGCATTAGTGTCCTAATATGTGGCCTTCGGTGAAAGAAGTTTAAAGTCGCTGGAGAATTCTACTGCACATACTGTACATGCTTTTGCTTTTGTATGGACAGTTTTCAAATATGTCATCAGCAGCATTTGCAGATAAAACTAAAATGATGCTATTCAAGTTAGATCCTAAAATAAATGATGTAGCATAAAATAGGCGTACAATGAAGGTTAGAAATAATAATACAAGTTTTTTGCTCAAGTTTTTTGATTATTTTACAAACCTCTATTTGTGTGTCTAAATATGGAATCCCTATTTGCACCAATGGCATCTAATCACAACCAGGCAAATTAACATTCCTCATCAATAGCAAAGTTTAATCACAAAATCACTTGAAAATCATTATTAATTGAGTGTGGTAAGAGCAGTCTCATCCCTTTTGTGGTTAAACTCTATGGTTGTACTTGTAGCCAAACATTCATGCATGTGAATAGCAATTGCAAACTACAAGAATAAAAAAGATACATGATGTCTTACAAGATGAAGACAGCATGCTATGGTCTATTTTATTCACAGACTTCTAATTTTAAAAGTCTCTTTCTGTTAGAAAAAACTACAATAGTTAAGATCAAAAACAATTAGGTACCCCAGCTTAATGTTAAATCATTATCTAGAGCTGAGGTTGTCCCTTCTTACCTCAATGATCTCGAGCATCTCCACCCGTGTGATCTTGCCGTCCCCGTCCAGGTCGTACATGTTGAAAGCCCAGTTCAGTTTCTGCTCAAAGCTCCCCCTAGAGGTGATGGACAGAGCGCAGATGAACTCCCTGAAGTCAATGGTGCCATCTCCGTTCTTATCGAAGGTCCTGAAGGCGTGCTGAGCGAACTTGGATGCATCTCCGTATGGGAAGAACTGTGGAAACAAGACAAGAAAAGTGTGTCAACAGATTTAGTATAGGGCTGGAGTCAACGAAGGATATTCTTGGTCAGTACATGCCAAGTACATGCCCAGGAGATCAATTAGTCAAGTAAAAGAACGCTCAAAACTATCTATTATGTATCTGACCTACTCTGACCTAAACTTCTGGCACACAAAAATTGCAATTCATAAAGTATTGAATTATGTTAATGGAGAGATTCACACAACAGCTTGAAATTGAATTGTAATTGTGTAAACAAAATAAAGAAATAATTTTGTGTCTTGCATGTGTGTAAAGCTGATAGCAAGAAGTTGTCTGCCAAGGAATTCTCTACAAGTGATTAAGTTTGAAAAAAGAGACGGTAGTTTTAAAACCACAAAAACTTGAAAACACATTTTATTTTTATTTTTTACAGACATGTTTTTTTAAATTTGTGATTGGATTGTCTTTGTGATTGGCACGTGAAGATGCCAGCCAATTTCACGTAGAAAAGTCCAAAGTTTGAACCTAAAATGTGAATCTCTCAATGAAATGAAATGATAAGCCTCCTAGTTATAAATAGATCACTTTTCAACTGACAATATTTAAGTTTTTAGTTTTTTTATCAATTGGTTACAAACTCTCAAATCCAACACACATTGGACCACATCTATCGCTATGCAAGCACAGTCCTTCCTTTCCCACCTTGCCCGACCTTCCGAGGATTTTTATAGTATGCCCTCCCTCGTCACCGCGAACATTTTGTTGCCTGCAGACTTCCTTCAAAGAGAATCCGCTTCTAAAAATACTCTACAGATTTTAGCTCAGTCTGTATTGATCCCTGAAGGAAATGCTCTCTTCTTCTCTAAGGACTTTTTCAGAAGGTCAGCGCAGCATGTTTCATTATCACTGAGGAAAAATGCAAAAAAAATCAAGATATTGCGTCTGCAGACACAAAACTTATTTCGAGTTTCCTTGAAGGACCACAAAGCCTTTATTTACTTAACCACTACTATTTATTCATCTTAAATTCCAAAATATCCAATTCAAGTATTAGATTTATTCATTCACCTCAAACGTAAAAAGTAAAAACCTTCTAACCATTAAACATAAAAGAAGTCATCATGAACTAAATTTAATATGCAGAATATTTGGACCAGTATCTCAAAGCTTTCCGTTATCTGGAGAAGATGAACAAACCCTGAGATCTTAAAATCAAGAACCTCATACACACAAAAATGCAGACAGAATAATCAGAATCCGAATCATTTTTATTACCATGTAAGTAACAGGAAGTCGCAGACTAGGAAATTAACAAGGTAATCAAGCAGTTTATTCTTCTTTACACTTTTGTCTAATTAGAATAACCTTCTAAGCCTCATCCACAATATCCAATTCAAATTTATTATAGCAGCTTGTTTTTTATCTTCTGCTCAGACTTTAAATAAACGGTATCCTGAATCAAAATGTATTTCTCTTGCTCAAAACATTTAGCAAGAATGGATTATGTCTGACATTGTATGGCTTATGGTGCGTTCAGACCAAACGCGATTTCTGCGGCCAAAGCGGCGGGTCTACATTGACACAACATGGGGGACGCGCGCCAAGGAGCGGCGAGAGATCACGCGGCGCGATTCGCGCGGCCAGAGCGGCGCGAATTCGAGCGTTTCGCGCGATTCGCGCGGCGTGTTTTGAGATGTCAAGCGTTTTGACGCGCGTTTCGCGCGATTCGTGCCTCCAACGCGGCCGCCGCTAGAGTTGAACAATGTTGAACTTTTTGGGAGAATTCGCGTGTGCCGACCAATCAGGAGCTTTTTCTCCTCCAGTGACGTAGTGACGCATTTCACTACCGGAAAAACACTGGTAGATGACAGCTATGGAGGACACGTCAATTGCTCAGGTCGGTGCTCATTCTGAGCTATATAACACTGCGGACCACAGCTACCGGGACCGAAATAAAAAGGAGCTTGCTTGGAGGAGGGTTAGCGAGGTGGTTGGTGTCTCGGGTAAGTTATTTTAACTTTTCAATGTTGTAAATATTTCCCCGCGAAAAAAACTACTACTTTCCTGCTTACGAGTTGATGTGTTTATTCAGTGGAAGTTTGCAAAAAGCGGTGGAAGAATCTGAGGGACACATATGAGGTGCTGAAGGTCGGTGTCATGCAGCAAACGGAGACCTCGAACAGTTGGAAAAAATACATTTCTTTCCTTTCTATTACCCACATTTTGCTGACTTTTACATTTATATTGCTTTCTGTGTATGCATTTCTTTTAATGCTTTCTTAACATCATGGCCAGGTGAAAATAGGCATTGGCTATTTTCAAACCAGGATAGATCTTGATCATGTGTTGTGTTAAATTTCACTTTTCCCTTTTATATGAACAAATCATTTAAATGTACATAATAATGTACATTATTATGTACATATAAATGTCATAAGCGCAATGTACACATGATATGAAATAATTGTATTTCTTGTTTTCTTCTGGCGCAGATACTGCCACCACCACACAAGGTGAGACATCTTGGCCTGAGCTGCCTGCTGCTGCTGCTGCTGCTGCTGCTTCCTCAGCCGGTTCTTCTTCTGTGAGGGCTGGACCTTCCCCTGCTTCTGCACCTACAGGTGTGGCTTTTTTTAATCATTGTTTTATTTTTATTCTTATTACAGGACTGTTCATATAAACAAAATGTTACTGCATAATATGCCAAAATTACCCAAGGGCTGTTACATCAGTGTAGACGACAAATTTACAGAGAAACGACAAGATGTCAAGGCACTACAGGTGGAAAGAAGCTTTGGTCTGATACAACACATCTTCCCTCTTTCTTTGATAAAAACATACTACTGAAATACCTTATGCTATAAAAGTACTGAACAAATACATGCAATGGTTGCCACAAGATGGCAGCTATCCTGTTTAATGCAGACAATAGAGTATTACTTTTTTTACAGCCAATTTCAAATTTCATTGCGAAATACACTTCAGAGATATTAGTTTGTAACTGTCGAAATTTGTGCTTGTGTGAGTAATTTCATTGATAACTGCAATGTTCAAGTTAATTGTAACACACACACAACTTAAAAGTTGTTTTACATGTGTTTAACTATGTCTACACACTCTGGCTTTAATACAGATATTATTTGCTCTCTTCATTTTGCTTTTTTGAAATACATGTTCCACTTTTTAACACTGTGATTGCCCTGTGTTCTTTGTTGGCGGCTCTACGGACGTGGGCCTCTTCCGAGCCCTCTTCCTTGGTGGGCCTTCAGAGTGGGAGCGGGAGCTGCTGGAGACTCTACGGACCAAAGCAGCCGGACCGCCCGACTACTCAGAAGAACATCAGTTCCTGCTCTCTCTCTTTCCTCTCCTGCAAAGGGTGGCACCAGAGTCAAAAGAATTTGTGAAATTCAAAATGTACCAACTTTTATATGAAAGCAGCACCGTTCTGCTTAATTTGGAACCATTGGCCAGTACAGTTTTTTTTACCTAAGGTGACACCTTTTGCAGGGGAGGAAACAGACATGTGTCCCTTTCCTCTTCCACCGCACCTCCTCCAAGCAAGCTCCTTTTCATTTGTTTATATGTACATTTCATTTATTTTTCATTGTTTGTTCCTTTTTTTATAAAGAAAATATTTTTCAAACCTCATGTGTTCTACTTCAAGCCAACCATTACTACCTTTCATATAATATTGACAGAAAATGCTATTCTATATTTGTACATTTACTTTTATAAGAGCTGACTGGGTTTTATAGAAGATGGAATAACAAACACTTAAAGAGCGATACAGTAGTTGACAGTATTTTTTATTCATTTCACCTTTTACTGTTTTAACAACCTTGTAATTACGTAAAAGCTTGAATGTGCATATGATTAACCTGAAGTTGGAGTGGAGTCGCAGTGGAGTCTGGCAGTCATTACCTAGAAACAGAAGGTATACAGGTGAATAGAATAGTGCAAATCAATATGGGTTTGGACTATGGCCAGATGTGGGTCAGTCTTGTGGTGGACATGACTACTCTGTGGGCTGCCACGGCAGTGCTCCCTCCTCACTGAAGTGGGCCATGAACACTTTCCTTATGTCCACTGCTGGCTTCCAGGCGGCCATCCGCTGCACGCCTGGAAGTGGTTCTTCACCGGCAGCAGCTCCCCTCGGTGCAGGAACCTGCCCATCTCCAGCCATCCTCATGGCTGGAGATGGGCAGGGCGCATTAAATTGCAGCGCAGTGAAAAGGCCTCATCTGCCACGAACACATGGGGCTGGGGTCCTCTGTGGTCAGCTCCAGGTATGCACTGGTCAGGAGGCAGGTCGAGTGTGCCCTCGCGCAGAGCCTCACCAAAGGCAGAGTTGGACACGATGCCTCCATCGCTGGATCTGCCGTACCCTCCCACATCAATCACCCTGAACCTGTACTGGGCATCCACTACAGCCAGGAGCACAAGGGAATGGTGCCCCTTATAATTAAAAAACATGGACCCAGAGTTGGGGGGTGCCTTCACAGCCACATGCTTCCCATCAATGGCCCCACAGCACAGAGGGAAGTTCCATCGGACCTCCACTCCTCTGCTCCAGGCACAGCCATGAACTCCTCCACGAGGCAGTCCCAGATGGCTGCCACCACATCTGGGATGAGCATGGAGACGGTGGATATGCCCGCTCTGAAGCTCCCCGCAATGGTCCTGTAGGAGTCCCCAGTGGCAAGAAACCTGCAATTACAAAATGATATGAACATATTTATCACAATTACATTCATAAAAATCACGTGACAAAACTTGTGTAGCATAAAATACGTTAAACTAGTAGACAGTAAACATCATAGACAGTAATCATAGACACCAAATTGTTGCATAATACTGTTTTCTGAGCAATTACATTGTGGATTGTGATTGAAAAATGACACACTTTGTAAGTATTTTGGAATTCCGAATGGGGTAAAAAACACTAACCACAGACAGATGGACAGGCGCTCTTCAGCTGGAATAGAGTTGGTGTCCTGGTAGGAGATCCTAGTGCCAATGCGGGTCAGTAGGTCGTCAAACTGAGCCAGGGAGAGACGAAAGTACCGCTGAAAGCGACCCTCATCCGAGCGCAGCTCCCGGAGCAAATGGTGAAACTCACCAAACTCCAACCGTCTACGGACTATCTGATGAATCCAGACACGTCGTCGATTCGCCCTTTGACGACGTGTCTGGCTTTATTTATCAGATAAAGCAACTCCTTCGCTGACATCCATGTTGGGAAGCTACAGGCAAAAGAGACAAGCCCCGCCCCTAAACGCTCTCAACGCTCTGTGACAGCGGCTGCCCTCTAGTGTCCTGGCCGCGCGGCCAAGTTTCTCTGTGACAGCGGCTGCCACAATTTGTCACAAGCGGCTCAAGCCGCGCGATATACGCGATTTGGCCGCAGAAATCGCGTTTGGTCTGAACGCACCATAAAACGTTGTTTGAGCAGCAGAGCGCCAAAAAGTGGCGTAATTTTTTTCAGTTTTTGACAATAGAAAATTTGCTTCCGTTTGCACAAACAAAGTCTGATTTGCACAAAACTTGAATCCATGGTTCAACTCTTGGGACTAGGTCATTTGAAAGTAAAAATTTTGAAATTGGCTCTATAGCGCCACCTACAACAGCCAATTTAAAAATGCCTATGGGAGGGGTTTGAGGTCAAAATTGTCGTAGAACCATCTAATTTGGAACACATGTTCCTCAAGTCAAGACATGGAAAAAATGTTATTATGGCTAAGCCCTCTGACAAACAGGAAGCCCATAAATTTCATTGCAAAATGGAAAAATGAAAACCAATCATTTTCACACATGTCGTTTGGAAAGCGACTCCTCCTCGGCCGTTTCACAGATTTGCCTGAAAATCGCTCCACATCATCTCAACACGTGTACCTTCAAAATGACTTCAGGGAATTTTTATCAGTGAAACAATGTTAGAGCATCGGAGCGGCAAATAGTGACCGTTTTTGACGATAGAAAAATAGCTCTCGTTTGCACAAACAAAGTTTGATTTGTACTAAACTTGACCTGGTTGTTCTACTCCTGGGCCTGGGTCACCTAAAGGTGTAAAATATTACATATGCTCTTTAGCGCCCCCTAAATACCGAGCTAAAGCTTTACATGGGGAGCCAAACCAACGGATCAATATCACAAATATTGGCCTATGGCATCGGAAGCAAATCATGGCGCGGCGGCGGCGCCACCTGCGGAGCGGCGAGTCACGCAGGGAGTCACGGGAAGGGGAATCGCGAGTTGCGCGGTATGGGGAATCGTAGCTGTGCCGGGAGTCGTAGCTGTGCTGGGAGTCGTAGCGGAGCGGAGAGTCGTAGAAGCACACGGGGCAGGGAGTTGTAGCAGAGCGGGCAGTCGTAGCGGCGCGCGGTGCGGGGAGTCGTAGCGGTGCGCAGTGCTGGGAGTCGCAGCGGAGCGTGGTGCAGGAAATTGTAGCTGAGCGGGGTGTCGCAGCGGAGCGGGGAGTCGTAGCGGAGCGGGGAGTCGTAGCGGAGCGGGAAGGCGCGCGGTGCGTCGCGCGGTGTGGCGAGGGCCGTTTGACGCCGCTTGCGGCTTTAATTTCACATTGTAATGACAGAATGACGAGTAAATGACAGAAGTAAATTAACTTTTGAATGATAGGCTAATCTATCGAGTTTCTGTATTGTATTGTTCTGCCTGTATTTTCTAATTTATAAGCATGTAAGTTGTTTTTATTCTCCCACATACAGTATTTTCTCTGCTGTATATTCTTTTGCAGTGATTCTTTCCAAACCCTCCTATCCTACGTCTTCTCCCATTTCCAAAGATGGAGAAAAGGCATTTGAGTGAATAAGCAATGCTCCCTGGCCCCTGCAATGACAGAATGGCACTTTTATGATGTCCTCCAGATTATACTGCGAGATGGGATGGTCTGAGGCAGGAACGGCAATTGATTAATCCATCGACTTGGGGAATGTGCTGGGGTCGTCCGGGCTGCTCAGCTGTTCCTTCCCCCGGACACCGCATTCAGACATACAAGCTGCACGGGATGACGAATGAGAGTAGCTGTAGCAGAGATAGCGCTCACGTCCGTCTGTGTACGCGGTTCTTAAGATGCAGTCCATGTCTTGTTCCGAGAGGGGAATAAACGATCTGAGCTAAAGGATTGCTCAAATTGACGAGGAACCTGCATGTTTTCTGTGGATAACACGGCTTTAGGAAGAAAAAATGTGCCATATGTGGTCAGCAGTTGTAGTTGGTGTTTGCATCTAATAGATTTTATGTCACGTCAAGTAGAAAAAAAAGAAATCCAGCCGGAAACAAGGTGGAAATACAGACGAGGAGTCAATAACCAATCCACATATCTCTATATTGAACGTGGCATCAATTCTACATTTATTTCAGAAGGCTCATGCTTTGTATGCTGTCAGAAGGTGAAGGTGCATTTAATTTATCCCCATAGCGTAATTCATCCTCTGCAGTAGACCCTTCCTGATGCCACTAGGGCGTCTATCAGGAGCACTGGTTGCCGGAATAATAGCGCCCGCTGCCTCATCTCCAAATGCTGATGCTCGGCTTGGTCAGGACTACTGCAGTTGGAGGATTCACTTATTGTACATGTTTTAGCGGTAGGGAAAACCGGAGCACCTGGAGAAAACCTATACATGCACAGGGAGAACATGCAAACTCCCCTCAGAAAGACACTGTTCCGACTGGCATTCAAACCCAGAGTGCTATTTACTCAGCCACCATGCCGTCCCACGTTCATATTTATGTGACCAAGACATAGGATGTACAAACTCACTTTTTGTTTATTAATGGGGCGTTATGCAACTTTTTATGTGAAAATAAGGTTGATATCCAGTGGTAGTCAGCAAGACACCTTAACTTTCCATTACAGTAGTCTCTAGAATGTTATAACTGTGTCTCAGATCATATGGCCCTGACCTGTGGAGTACCACAGGGGTCAATCCTGGGACCTCTTCTGTTCAATCTGTACATGCTGCCGTTAGTTCAGTTAATACGCAGAAACAAAGTGTCCTATCATAACTATGCAGACGACACTCAGATCTATGTCTCACTGACTGCAGGAGAACATGGACCAGTGGACTCACTCCTTCACTGTATCCAACAGATCAGTGAGTGGATTCCTTCAGCTAAATGCAGACAAAACTGAAATGATTGTCTTTGGTCCCCAGAAACAAAGAGAGAGCGTCAGCTGTCACCTGCAGTCTCTCTCCCTAAAACCTTCAAACACGGTCAGGAATCTAGGGGTAATACTGGACTCAGACTTAAATTTTAATAGGCACATCAAATCAGTAACATCAGCAGCTTTCTACCACCTAAAAAACATTGCCAGGATCAAAAACATAGTGTCTAAAGCAGACTTGGAGATTCTTATCCATGCATTTGTCTCCAGTAGGTTAGACTACTGCAATGGCCTGCTCACAGTTCTCTCCAAACAGGCTGTAAAACAGCTGCAGTACATTCAAAATGCAGCAGCTCGAGTCCTGACTAGAACCAGGAAGTACGACCACATTAGTCCGGTCCTCAGGTCCCTGCACTGGCTTCCTGTGGCTCAGAGAATTGACTTTAAAACAGCTCTGCTTGTGTACAAGTCTCTCCATGGCGTCGCACCAAAATATATTAGTGACATGTTAGTCCCATATGAACCAGCCAGGACTCTGAGGAGCACAGGGACTGGACTCCTGTTAGTGCCCAGAGTCAGAACTAAACATGGGTAGGCTGCTTTTCAGATTCATGCTGCTAAAATCTGGAACAATCTTCCTGAAGATGTGAGACAGGCCTCCTCTCTGACAATGTTTAAAACAAGGTTAAAAACAGTTCTGTTTAGCTGTGCATACAACAGGGATTTTATATTTGTATCTTTCTTTTTAATGTACTGTGATTATTTACGATTTTAATGCTTTCTTGTTTTGTTCAGCATTTTGAATTGCCTTGTGTATGAATTGTGCTATACAAATATACTTGCCTTGCTTTGCCTTGCCAATGAGATCAATTGTTTGTGAGGTTTTCTCTGCTGCCAGACAAGACACATCATTCTGGAGGAGTAGAGATTGAACTTTGATCAACAATAAAGGCACCCCCGTTACTTTTGCAACAAGACATCATCAGTAGGATAAATCTAACCTGTCTCACTACGGTCTAAACCCAGCTCATGTTCCCTATTAGGGGTTCAGCTTCACAAGGATAAGAAGAGCAGATATGGGAGGATTAAAAAGTGCCATTACTATGAACGCTTGGCCGCCACAAGCCAATTATTCCCTTTACTTTTCTGACACCTTCTGCTAAAAACCCCAAAAAGTCAGAAAGATCGTGACGCCCCTGTGATGCCCACTTTGACAGCTACAGGGTCACCATAATATGCAAAATCCCAATATTTTCCGCATACAAAAGCTGCATAATGCACCTTTATACTACAGTAACACACTTTTCAACCCTTTAAGCAGACTATTACGTTTAAAAAAAAAAAAAACGATAACAATCATGGCCATTTCTACTATCTGTTATGACAAGATGTGTCAAAGCCTTTCCTCGTGTGCAGCAAGTCCGACTTTTAGTTCTACCTCTGCATATAGATGTATATTTAATGTTTACATTACTAATCGATGTGATGGTGTAGCATAAGTGCTCCCCCACGAGCTTCATTTGACATTAGTGACCATCCATCCATCCATTTTCTTCCGCTTTATCCGTTGCCGGGTCGCGGGGGCAGCAGTCTAAGCAGAGACGCCCAGACTTCCCTATCCACACACACCTCCTCAAGCTCGTCCGGGGGGACCCCTAGGCGTTCCCAGGCCAGCTGAGAGACATAGTCTCTCCAGCGTGTCCTGGGTCTTCCCCGGGGCCTCCTCCCGGTGGGACGTGCCCGGAACACCTCCCCAGGAAGGCGTCCAGGAGGCATCCTGAACAGATGCCCGAGCCACCTCAACTGGTTCCTCTCGACGTGGAGAAGCAGCGGCTCTACTCCGAGCTCCTCCCGTGTGACCGAGCTCCTCACCCTATCTCTAAGG